CCCCTGCCTTCTCCTTCTCCCTACGCTGGTCCTACTGGAGGTCTTGCTGAGCGTCGTGAGCCTGCGTCCCGCCCTGCGTCGCTAGTCCGAGCTGCTCGCCCTAGTGGTCGCGGTTCGCGTCAGCGTCCTCCTACTGTCCCTGGCACGCACCAGATGTCTCTGCGTCCGTCCACTGCTCCTCTGCGTGCCCCTTTGCCTTCTCCTCCTCAGTCTTCTCTTCCTACACTTGCCGACCCGGAGTCGGACTCTCACCGTGCTGCCAGTCCTACTGTCACGCGTCTTCTTGCTACTCTTGTCACTGACCCTTCCTTTGAGTCCGCTGCTGCGTCTGCCCTAGTTGCTGAGCTGGTCGACTTTGCTGCTGCGTGTCGTCTGGACTACGCTGCCAGTCTTGTTGCTGAGTCTGCTGAGTCTGCGTCTGCTGCGTCTGCGTCTGCCTGTCCTCCGTCCGTCGGGGGTGACTGTGCTCTTGGCACGGACGTCCTTGAGGACAGGCAGGATGAGTTCCAGTGCTTTGCCGCCGCTTTGCCCCATCTCGTGTCCATGCTTGTTGCCCCTGAGGGAGACCCGGATGCTCTAGACATCCCGACCCCACGCTCTTACGCAGAGGCGATGGCCGGTCCCTACTCCTCTCAGTGGCAGTCAGCCATGGACGCAGAGATGGCTTCCTGGAAGTCCACAGGCACCTACGTTGACGCTGTTCCCCCTCCTGGGGCGAACATTGTCAGTGGCATGTGGATCTTCAGGGTGAAGCGGCCGCCGGGTTCTCCGCCTGTCTTCAAGGCGCGCTACGTGGCTCGTGGCTTCAGTCAGCGACAGGGAGTTGACTTCTTTCAGACCTTCTCCCCGGCCCCGAAGATGACCACTCTTCGGGTTCTACTGCACGTCGCTGCTCAGCGTGACTACGAGCTACACTCTCTTGACTTCAGCACTGCTTTCCTGCAGGGCCGCCTGCACGAGGAGATCTGGCTGCGCCGCCCTCCTGGCTTCACTGGGTCGTTCCCTCCTGGTACCCAGTGGAGCCTCCGGCGGCCACTCTACGGTCTCCGCCAGGCGCCGCGTGAGTGGTACGACACACTGAGGACTACACTTGCGGCTCTTGGGTTTGCTCCTTTTACTACTGACCCATCGTTGTTTCTGCGCACCGACACCTTGCTGCCGCCGTTCTACATCCTCGAGTACGTCGACGACTTGGTCTTTGCCACTGCGGACACTGCCGCACTCGCCCACGTGAAGTCGGAGCTGCAGAAGAGACACACGTGCACAGACCTGGGTGAACTGACAAGCTATCTTGGCTTGCGGATCACCCGGGACAGAGCACGCCGCACCATTACCCTGACTCAGTCACACATGGTGCAGCAGGTCCTTCAGCGCTTCGACTTCACGTACTCCTCGCCTCAGTCCACTCCTCTGCCTACGGGACACTCGCTCTCAGCTCTGCCTTCGGATGAGTCCGTAGAGTCGAGTGGTCTGTATCCAGAGCTTGTGGGCTGCCTCATGTACCTGATGACTTGCACTCGACCTGACCTCGCATACCCTCTCAGCATCTTAGCACGCTATGTTGCTCCCGGCCGTCACCGGAAGGAGCACATGGATGCAGCTAAGAGGGTGTTGCGCTACTTGTGCAGTACGTCGGGCATGGGGCTAGTGCTTGGAGGGCGTGAGCGGCCTGTGCTCACTGGGCACTCAGACGCTTCTTGGGCTGATGACCAGGCTACTCAGAGGTCGTCTCAGGGTTACACCTTCAGTCTTGGCTCTGGCTCTGTCTCTTGGCGCTCTACTCGCTCTTCTTCGGTTCTCAGCTCCAGCTGTGAGGCTGAGATCTACGCCACGGCCATGGCTGCCCAGGAGCTTCGCTGGCTCACCTACCTGCTGACTGACCTTGGAGAGCCGCCTCGTTCTCCTCCAGTGCTGGACGTCGACAACAAGGCAACCATTGCCTTGTGTGAGGAGCACAGACTGGAGCACAGGACGAAGCACATTGCTCTGCGCTACTTCCTTGCTCGAGAGCTGCAGCAGCGTGGTCAGCTTCGCCTGCGTTTCGTGGCCACTGAGGCCAACACTGCTGATGTGCTCACCAAGGCACTTCCGCCTCGTGACCATCAGCGCTTTTGCACTCTGCTAGGCCTTGTGCCCACTGGGCCTCACTTGCTTACCTCTTGACCTTGCTTGTACTGCTGCATATATATATCCTTGCTCTTGCTTGTTTAGCACTGTTATATATATATGCTCTGCTGCATGTGAATTGGCCTTGTGGCCTTGACCTTGTGCTCGGAATTGGTGTGGTATCCTTGAGATCCACCCTGAGCTTGCTTTGCTTTGCTTTGCTTTGTTTGACTGGTCTTGTGACCCCTTGCTCTCCCCCACTTTGCCTATGGGGGTGTGTCAGATGATTTTATTACTGATGCATATATTTAGGCTGTAGTGGGGTAGCCCATAGGGGGTACAACCCAATTAGGGTTGGTACTTGTACTTGTTTCATTTCATAGTGCACATCATTCCTCGCCTCTATCTCAACAGAAATAGCATAATAAAGTAAAGGCAAGCAAGCGTAGCTAGCATAAGCCGTCGTATTCTCACATCGCCAATCATTATCTTCAGCAACCCAACTTGACGGAAGTATAGCTGCATTTTCCACGCCCAATCGTCGTACCCATTGCCGTTGAACTTGTCGACTGTGAAGTTCTTAAGCACCTCTCTCAATAGTGAGCCTTGACTGGTCCGCACTCCCCTTGGCGCTGAACCTCCAGTATCTTGGCTTCCACTATTAGCACGTGCAAGTGAACCTTCCGTTCGGCCCGACTCCATGGTGTTCTAACGGCAAGAAGTCCAAAAAAGGACTAAGAACCAGCTTTGATACCACGTGTTGACTGCTATTTGGGATCTAGAAGCTCTAAGCACACATTTAAATCAACGTTAGATAGTCCCCACGGGGTCACCTCCAAGTGTCCTTGGGTGCCTGGTAGAACCAGCCCCTATCCAAGGGTCCGTGTTTGTAGAGGAACTTTTCAAGCATGAAATCAGTCGTGTGCACTAGAGCACTCCCAAGTTCATATGCGGAAGCGTTAACGATCGATTGGCTCGTATGCAGAAATTTCTCCTCGCGTGCGCTGTCCTGCGCGAGGACAGGGCAGTAATGTCCCCTATCTTGTTGCGATCGTGGGCCCTGCCACGCTCGCAACAGTGCGAGGCACACGCACAAGGCCTGAGGGGCCACACGCGCGTGTCAGGACCCCACACGCGGGTCCCTGACATTCGCGCACAGTTGACCTTGACCAGCGCAAAAAGTCAAAGTGGCAAAACCACTCGCCACTCATTAAAAAGCACGAAAAACATCAACTCTCATGAACTCTCATGATAACTCACGAAAACACATGAGAAACAATGAGCGCACACGCAGACTCATGAACAATCGCGGACTCACGCGAACTTACCGAAACTTACGAACTTTCATGCGCTCTCACGGAAACTCATGAACATTCATGAAATGCACTCACACACAAAAATGCACATACGGTAACTCATGAACCACTAAGGCGATTCACAAACCGTAAACGCACAAATGTAAAGCATGCAAAAGGCGCTCCTCACACTCCACAAATTACCTTAAAATAGAGACTCTCATTTTCCTTTATCTTCGGCGAATAGGCGGTAGGTTGACGTGCAAACCACATTGTGCACTCAACACTGCCGAGGGATAAGGTGGGAATGTCTCCTTATTGCATTCCCCCTTTTCTGAATCTTGTCACAATCATTAAATTTAGAAATGTATTTCTAAATTATTCATGTTACCACCGCAGCATACCGGTACCGCACGTCACACGGGCAGGGGTGCCGTACGTATGGCTTGATTGGTGGGCTGCGTGCTGCTGTTGTGCTGAGCTAACTGATTAAAGCATCAGGGAGCTTTGCAGGGGAGAAAATTACTGCAGATACCGTAAGGGCGCTGCCGAGAAAACAGGATGATGTTAGTCAGACGAACCATTACTGGTAGGAACTGCATACCACAACTTCAATTACAACTACTGAAGTCTGCTCCCAAATGCATCTTTATGATTTTCTTGGCTGCCAACAGCAAGCAGCATCCTGTTTTCCGGCGACACATCAACAGTAGTGTACTCCACATACTCCACCCCCAGCCCCCTGCCTTGCAGCCACTCCAGCCGCCCCGCATCTATCAGCATCTTGCACGCCCTCCCCACCTGCACCTTGTGCTCCACTGACAGATGGGCGAACCACGGCCTGCTTGCTGCTGCTGCTGCTGCTGCTGCTGCTGCTGCTGCTGCTGCTGCTGCTGCTGCTGCTGCTGCTGCTGCTGCTGCTGCTTGCTGATGGCCACCAGGGGGCGCCCCTCTAGGCCCGGCAGCGCTGCCAGCTGCAGGTCTGCGACTGGGGCGGGGGACACACGGGAGAGGGTGGGCGTTGACGAGGTGCTTGGTGATGAGTGGCGTGCTGCAGTGGCAAGGGGGAAGATCATGATGCCCATGCCCATGCCCATGCCCATGCCCATGCCCATGCCCATGCCCTTGCCCATGCCCATGCCCATGCCCATGCCCATGCCCATGCCCTTGCCCATGCCCATGCCCATGCCCATGCCCATGCCCATGCCCATGCCCATGCCCATGCCCATGCCCATGCCCATGCCCATGCCCATGCCCATGCCCATGCCCATGCCCATGCCTGCCCATGCCCATGCCCATGCCCATGCCCATGCCCATGCCCATGCCCATGCCCATGCCCATGCCCATGCCCATGCCCATGCCCATGCCCATGCCCATGCCCATGCTGCAATCTGTGTGTCTTACTGTCAACTCGGACGCGCATCAGGTTAACTCCTGGGAGTTTCCTCAGAGCACGATCAGCCTGCAACGGGACAATGTGTCAGGACCAACGAGAGGTGACGGGGAGAGAGCAGGGTGGGGGAGGAGAGGGGGAGAGATAAGGAATAAAGAAGTGGAGAGAGAGTTGACAGGAAGAGAGTGGGGGGTTGAGAGAGGGAATCAATGAGAGATGGGAAGGTCAAAGAGAGAATAATAGAGAGAAAGCGGGGGGAGGGGAGATGAAAAAGGGGAGAGGGGAAGGGGCAGAGGAGCGCAGGGTGGGGGGTGCGGGGAGTGGGAGAAGAAGTGGGAGTTAAGGTGGGAATGAGAGTGGAAGTGGGGAGTGAGGGAGAGATAGGGGAGGGTGGGGCAGATATGAAGGGCAGTGATCACGCGAAAAGGAGAGAAAGGAGAAGAGAGATAGGAAAGGAGAGAAAGGAGAAGAGAGATAGGAAAGGAGAGAAAGGAGAAGAGAGATAGAAAAGGAGAGAAAGGAGAAGAGAGATAGGAAAGGAGAGAAAGGAGAAGAGAGATAGGAAAGGAGAGAAAGGAGAAGAGGGATAGGAAAGGAGAGAAAGGAGAAGAGAGATAGGAAAGGAGAGAAAGGAGAAGAGAGATAGGAAAGGAGAGAAAGAAGAAGAGAGATAGGAAAGGAACGGGACGAGAGAGAAGGGGAAGGGGAAGGAAGAGGGTGAGGAGAAGATCAGTAACTAAAACGTGGGTTTGGGAGAGGGGGAAAGAGGGGAGGAAAGGAGGAGTGAGAATGTCACATGCGTGCCAACCCCACTCGGCATGCCTGTTTCTAAGGAGAAGGAAAAGAGAACCTTTGAGTTGCTCCTCCATTCGTTCTTTCCCCTGCACCAAGTGCTGACCATGGCAGCATGGCACATCTGTCCCTCCTTGCAGTTAAGCATTCAACCAAACCATACATGCACCCACTTACATAACCTACCAACCACAAACAACCCTCCTTCTCCCACCTCTCTCCCACCTCCCTTTCCCCTTCTCCCCGTCTGCCCTCCTTTACCCCACCCCTTTCCCTCACCCCTCTTCCCCACCCCTCTCCCCCCACCTTGAACTTGTAAGCGCGGCGTTCAACGAGCACCACATGGCGGGCGTGGAAGCAGGAGCACAGCATGTGAGTCAGGTACCCCCTGCCCGCGCCCAGCTCCACATACACCCTGCCCTCTCCCTCGCCCCCGCCCTCGCCCTCGCCCTCCTCATCCACCGCGCCATCGCCCCTGCTCTCGCCCTCCTTCACTGGGACCGCCAGACCCTTCTCCTCTCCCTGCCGCCCCGCCTCCTCCCCTCCGTGCTGCACGGCTGCAGCCCCGGCATGCGGGCGTGCTTCCTTGGCCTCCTCGCCCCCACGCTGCTGCCCCGCCCCTCCCGCTCCTGCCTGCTCTGCCCCTCTCACGTGCCCTGCTGTGCTGCCTCCCTGCGCGTCTCCCTGCACCACTGCACCCCTCTCTGCCTGCGCGCCTGTCTGTGTTGCTGGGCGCTCAACCGTGCGCGGGCGCGGCAGGGGGCGCAGCAGCCCCACGCGGGCGAGGTTGGCGAGGATGGACGCCTGCTGCTTCACATGCCGCGGCTCAAATGGTACACTCCTGGTGCGGTGGGGCGAGGGGAGGAGAGGGGAAGGGGAGGGGAGGGGAGGGGAGGGGGGGAGTGGGGAGATGAAATGGCATGACACGACACACACACGCACACAGCAGAGCGCCAGGCAGGGGGTGCAGCAGTACCACTCGGGTGAGGATGGACGCCTGCTGCCTCACATGGCGTGGCTTGAATGGCACACTCCTGGTGCGGTGGGGCGAGGTGGGGGAGGGGGGCAGAGGGGGGCGCAGAGGAGAGCAGAGGGGAGGGGAGCAGGGGAGACAGCTAGGGGGAAGGAGACGTACATAACATGCTTCATCAGAGATGGGATAACCAGAGGGGAGATGTCTCAACCGCCTATATCCAATCTGCCCATGCCTCACCCGCCCATGCCTCACCCGCCCATGCCTCACCCGCCCATGCCTCACCCGCCCATGTCTCATCCGCCCATGTCTCATCCGCCCACGTCTCATCCGCCCATGTCTCATCCGCCCATGTCTCACCCGCCCATGTCTCATCCGCCCATGTCTCACCCGCCCATGTCTCATCCGCCCATGTCTCACCCGCCCATGTCTCATCCGCCCATGTCTCACCCGCCCATGCCTCACCCGCCCATGTCTCGAGCAGTCTGCTCCCAGGCGTCACATGCAGGCGGCCACAGCACCGACTGCTGCACAGTGAACAGCGGCGCTGCTCCTGCTGCTGCTCTTGGTGCTTCTGCTGCTGGCGGCAGTGCTGGTGCTGCTGCCTGCCCACTAGGAACCATCTCTGCATGCTCATTTTCTCCCGAGGGGGTCAGGGGAGGGAGACGCACACCGCCATGGCCCCCAAAGGCTACTGCATGTGCCTCCCCCAGCAGGTGCAGCAGGCGCTGCCACTCGCCTTCCCCCAGCGCCGCCACCATCTGCCTCCTCGCTGCCGCTGCTGCTGCTGCTGCTGCTGCTGATGATGATGAGGCCGCTCGCTTGCCAGCAGAGGCGGATGCAGCCGCGGCCTGTCCGTCAGGCCCAGGCGCCGCAGCAGCAGTAGTGGGAGCAGCAGGGGCAGAAGCAGCAGCATCAGCAGCAGCAGCGATATGGGCATGAGCAGCAGTGGAGTCAGCAGCAGCAAGACCCCCTGCCTGGGCCGTGGAGCTGCTTCTGGCACCTAGTGGCGGCCCTCTTGCATTGAGGCCGCCCTTGAAGTACGCTGCTCCCTCTGTCAACCCCCTCTGCACGGCTGCAGGACACTTGGTGACGTGCAATTGGACCTCGGATGCGAGTATGGTGCTGCCACGCAGCGTGCATTGAGGGGAGGGCAAGGGGATGGGGGATGGCGGAGCGGAGTGGGGAGGGAAGATGAGAGAGATGAGAGAGGGGAGAGGGAGCAAGGATGCAGGGGGTGCGTGAAGAGAGATGCAGGGGGGCAGCAGCGATTGCGAGGCGCAGGTGGGATGTGGCAGGGAAGACAAGGAGGGAAAAGAGCGGTAGACTGAGGGGAGGAGGAGAGTGAGGGGGGGAGGGGGTGGGGAGAGGAGAGTGAGAGGAGGAGGAGAGTGGGGAGAGGAGACAAATGAGGGGCGCAGAATGGAGGGGGAGAGGAGACGAGCGTACTGGGAGGCGTCGACCGGGCAGGGCACTCGCAGCGCTGCAGTCTCTGGGATGTGGTTACCACAGAACCTGTAACACGGGGGGCGAGGGGGCAGATGCACCGCACAGGGAGGGCAGACGGGACGAGATGAGATGAAAAGCGAGGGAGAATGAGTGCGGGGAAAGCAGGACGATGGGCGAGCGGGCATGGCTTAAGGGGGATGGGCGAGGGGGAATGACCTAGGGGGGATGGGCGAGGGGATGGCTTGATGGGGATGGCACTGGGAGGAAATGCAAGGCCAAACACCCTAGAAAGCCCAACCCTAGGATGCGAAAAACATGGAAAGCGGAACACTATAAAGCGAAGTTCTGGGAGGCAAAGCCCTGGAAAGAGAAGCCCAAGAAAGCGGACCCCCAGACGAATGGGGTCCAGGGGGGCGGGGAAGTACTTGTGCCCGGGCTTCCTGCGGCTGGAGCACGCCCGCCCCTTCTTTGCCAACCAAAACCCTGTAAAGTTAAACCTAGAAAGCAAAACCCTGAACAGTGACCCTAGAGGAGCGGGGGGACAGGGGAGGGGAGTACATGTGGCCGGGCTTCCTGCGGCTGGAGCACGCCCGCCCCTTCTTCACCAGCCAGAACCCGCAACTCTCCCCGCTCGCCCCTTTCCCTCCGCCCCTCCCACTTGCACTCTCACCCTTCCCCTCGCCCTCCCCGTTCGACCCGCTCTTCCCCTCAATTTCCCCTTTCCGCTTCTTCCGCGCGCTGCTCCCCTGCGCGCCATCCTCTAAAACCCTGTCCCCTGCGGGTTTGGGAAGCATCGGTCCCTTCGCAGCGACCACCTGATGTGAACTATCTGCAGGGTCAGCTAAATCCGCATCTCCAGTGGATCCGACAACAATTGCCGATTCGTGGTTGGTGGAGCCTGCCTTAGAGCGCCGATCCGCCAGACGTTCCTCGTCAGCTCTGACGTCCGTCAACTCTCGCCCGTCAATCATACCGGCCATTCCGTTTGTTGCGGGGCCAGCCTGAGCGACTGCTGGACGGGACCTCTCAGGCAGTCGCGAGCAAAAATTAGGGTTTCTGAGGTAACTGGTCACCCTACTCGAGCAAGCTTCGCGTGGAAGGTGTAGCAAACTGCCTGATTGACGAGATCGAGGAGGCGTTACTGGTAACCCGACGGTTACTAAAGCGACGGTTACTGGTTTGTTTGCCGCCAAGTGATGGGCAAAGAGAGGAGCTCTCCCCATCCCTCGTACCTGTGCTGAAAATAACAACTCTTTGCACCAAACCAGTTTTTGTTTTTAACATGACTGGTTCCGCCGTTTCGTCTTCAAATTAACAAGAACTCTGCAACGAGGTTTTTGGTCGCGAGTCAACCGTACAAAGCAAGCATGGAGTCGAAACGACACAAAGGCGACAAGCTAGCAAAAACCAGATCTGTCTTCTCAAATCTCCCATCGCCGATGTTTTTCGGAAAAAACCTCTAGGTTGTTCCTTTGGCATCAGATCGGACGGTTTACCGCATCGTGCATCGGGCTACGGAATTGTCCCTCGTTGATACACCCGTTCATCCTCCATCGCACGTTTCATCGCCCCGCGACGCAATTCGCGGCGATTCTCAGCAAGTCGTTCCATTCATCCCACCGCCAAAACTCGCGTTCCATTCCATTCCATTGTCGCGACGCACGTATGACAGCCACACACCCCGAGAACGAATGTGTCGTTCCGTCTCCTAGTAATTCCCTTCCAACAACCACCTCGGCGATCCTCTCGCGACTCGAAATCGACAGTTGGATTGGACTCGACACCCACCAGTCTAGCGGGGAACAAGACAGCCCCCCTGCTTCATCGAGCCACACGCGCCTATCCGACTAGCCCGACCACGCACGGCAGCCTTGCAGCTGCAGCAGCAGCTGCATCACCTGTCGATGCCCGATGCTTCCTCCGCACCGATAGTACTACTGGGTAGTTGAAGTAGTTGAGTTTCCCACCACCGCCGCGGACTCCGCTAGTAGCATGCAACGGTGCGCGTCGACGCGGCACACGATGATGGCTCTTTGCCTGCCCGTCATCACGACGACTCGTATCGTCTGGTCGACCTGACTCGCAACAACCACCAGCGTCGCTTGGAGCAGCGGGACGCATGGCGGGGCGGGCAAGAGACGACGGGCAGGGCAAGGCAGGGCGGGGCAGGAAAAGGGAAGGCAGTGCAAGGCAGGATAGGGTAGAGAAAGTGTTTCGAAGCGCCTCGGAGTCGCGGTTCGTCTCAGTCTCACGCCCAGCAGCACTCACTCTGCCATACCCGTCCCTTTGGAGCTATAAAGCCCGCTCCTGCCATCCCCATTCCATCATCGGCCTTCAGCTCCGCCTTCTCTCCTCACCCGCCTCCTTCCACATCTGACTCTCGGAGTCAAGTCTACGCCTTCGCACTCTTCTTCACCACCGCCCACCAGCCTTTCTCCGGCTTGACTCTCCACCCGCCACCTCCGCCACGACCGCCGCCGCTACCATGGCGACCACCCGCGCCGCTGCAGCGAGCCGCGCGCTCCCGCTGCTCCCGCTCTTGGCGCTCTCGCTCACCGCGGCTCTCCTCCTCTCGTTCACGTCACCGTCCGACGCGCTGGGGTGGACGCAGATGTCGACCAAGTATACGTGCAACCCCAACTCCAACTACGGCATGTGGTTCAAGTACGGCTGCAACTGCCAGGCCATCAACACCACGGAGCTCGGCTACAAGAAGCTCTGGGCCACGTGCCCGGGCGTCAACCCCTCCGCGTACGGGCGGCACGCGTTCGGCAATGTGTGGCTGGAGAGCGTGGGGTATGCGAACTGGGTGAGCATTCTGATGGAGTGCGCGCGGCAGCCGTACCACCTCAGCACGGGGTTCAACGGCAAGTGCTCCATTCCTAACATCCTCGGCAAGCCCTACTGGGTGGGCGGCGGCCCCACCCCTCCCCCCCGCGCCAACGGCATGCCCTGGAACTGGAACCCCGCGCCCCCCTACCTGTAGAGCGCTGCTGTGCGGTGCTGTGCGGGGGAGGGAGGATGTGTGGAGGGACATGCGGGTGGAAAGAGTGTGAATCTGGGTGGCGAGAAGGTTGCAAGAGAACACATGAAGGGGTGTGGAGATTTGGGTCGGATCGGAACATGTGAAGCAGGGAGCCAAGGAGAATTGCTGGATGGATGTATGGGTGTGATGGGGACGTGGCAGGGGGGCGTGCAGGAGGGAGGGAAGAGCAGGGGCGCAGCCGTGGCTAGATGGTAGTGCTGTTGCCCTGGCCCTGTCTCTGCCTCTCTGTGCTGCCTGCTCCTGATCCCCTGGTGTCTGGTTGGTAATAAATTGTATCATTCTACCGCGATTATTGAAATCTCAGTTGTTTTTATGTGTTCGCTGGTCCAACAAGTCCCTTGCTTGCACAACACATCGATACCACAGAACAGAGGCAGGCAACACTTGATGCACACTGGAGGCTCAGCAGCATGGCTGGTTAAACAAAGTCCGCACCACACAAAGAATGAAAAACCAGTGCAAAGTGTTTTGCACGTACGGTACTCTCAACCATACCTACTCTGCTCTGCAGCCACGGGCATTCTCATTCACGGGCTAAGCATTCTCCTCCATCACCAACAGCAACATACCAGTAACACACAACGACACACTACCGGTACGTGCAGCTTGCACTCCATCCCATCTGCACTCCGTTGACCAACACCCTTCACATACCAGGTTGAACTTGTTGGAAACAATAGTTCCTAAGCGCCTCTGTCGTGTCAAAACACTAAGGCACAAGCGAAGCAGAGCATATCGAGGCACCAGCAAGTCAACCCTCAGAGGTTGAAGTAACCGCTGGAGGTTACGCGAAAGTCAAAGGTCAGCGACCTTTGACCTGACAAATGCAGCGCGACAGCAAGGACACACAACTGACTCTTTACAGAGCAGTTGCCCGAGTCGTCACTGTATCGAACCGCAACAGCAACAGTAAAGTAGTTATAACTGTGTCTCTTCATATTCTCTGTATTCAAATATAATCTTGTATCTCTTTGCTTTAATCAATTCACTTTGCCCTCACATACTAGCGCAAGGTGGTTCACAAACTCCTTATTAAGACGCTTCCGCTACTACATCAACTCTACCCAGAATTCACCTCTGCAAAGATCCTAAGGGCTTTTTCAGCCCAACAGAACTTTCATCCCCTCGAGGGTCCGTCCGTCAAGGTGGGAAGTAGGTAGGTTTACAAGCATTCCCTGGTTTCAATCAAGCATGGCAGATGGTGGGTGGCAGAGGTGGAGAGGCATGCCTAACGGCTGCACTTGGTCGTGTGACGAGTCATGCCCAAGTGGTGCTGCCTTAGGGCCTGCAGATCCGGTACCTTAACTTGCAGGAAGAGGAGATGACTGGCTTCTATGGAGTACTATTCATGAGGTGCGGTGTACCACTACCGGTACACAAAGTGGGCTTAAGAAACTAATATGTAAGGCTGTGCACTGTCAAAGTGTGAAGCAATGATTAAACTACACTGAAACAGTTACTGTACACCAAACGGTCGCAACACAGCACAGCACAGCACGCCTGACCATGAACGGGCCCCTAGGACACCACTCAGCAGCGGTGGTGGCGTATCAGCAGCATCAGCAGCAGCCATAGAGCAGCGCGAGACGTGAGCGTGCCTGGGAGAGCAGCGCCTCGCACCACCCCACCGAGGAGCCCCCCCCTGCTGCTGCCTGCACCTCGTGCTGTGGCGTGCGTGGTGGGGGAGAGGAGCAAGAGGGGAGGGGCAAGGAGGGGGGTGGGAAGGGTTAGCTGCTAGTGATGAATAAGGTGCAGGTTGGTGGATGGGGAGGTGGTGGGGAGGTGGTGGGGAGGAGGTGGGGACTGGAGGGGGTGCGCGGTGGGGAGGGGAGGGATAGGTGAGTCATTTGGGAGGGTTGGAGCAGCATATGGGAGAGGAGAGCAGCGGGAAAGGGAAGGACAGAAGGGTTGAAAGACGGGAGACGCGAGCAGGAGCAGACGGCAGGAGACATGCGTGTGCAGAGGGGTTGAGAGGGATGAGCTGTCCGGCCATACCATGCCATTCGTACAGCCCCTCTTCTCCCCCTTCCACTGTCTATTTCCCTCCCAAATAACCCCGCTCTCTCTTGCACCACCCATGCCCACGTCCCCCCTCCCCCTTCCTCTCTATCCCTCCCCCCATGCACTCACCATCAGCCCTGACAGGCCAGCTGTGAGTCGCTGCCTGTCTGCCGCCCCCAGCAGCAGCAGCGGGGGCTCCAACGGGTCCCACAGCACCGCCACACACACCACGCCTGCCCTTGCCTGCACCCCGGCTCCTGTGCCTTCTGTCTCCGCGCCCTCTGCCCCTGCGCCGTGCTCTTGCTGCTCGGTCGGCAGGAGGAGGTGGAGGAAGGGCGCGAGCAGGAAAGGGTGCAGGGCGAGCAGGCGCAGCGCTGGCACCAGCCAGGGGCACGCGCGCAGCAGAGATGTTCTCGTGGGCGAGGGTGAAGTGGGGGGTGAGGCGGAGAGCGTAGAAAGATGCTCCTGTAATGGGGTGCGGGTGAGGAAACAAGGTTAGGAGAAAGTGGGTCAGGGCGAGCAGGCGCAGGGAGGGCACCACCCAGAAGCACACGCGCAGCATAGATTGCCCCGTGGGCGGGATGGGGTGGGGGAGGTGGAGAGCATGGATAGATGCTCCTGTACGGGGTTGCGGGTGAGGAAACAAGGATAGGAGAAAGTGGGTGAGGGCGAGCAGGCGCAGTCCAGGTACCAGCCAGGGGCACGCACGCAGCAGACGTCCTCGTGGGCGCAGGCGAGGGGGAGAAAGTGGAGAGATGCTCCTGTAAGGGGGTGGGGCGGGGTAACGGAGGTAGAGGGATAAGAGTTGGGGAAACGAGGTTGGGGAAGGGGTGCAGGGCGAGCAGGCGCAGAGTGGGGCCGAGCGAGGGGCGCGCACACAGCAGACAAGCCCTCGTGGGCGCCAGTGAGGGGGGGGGAGGTGGAGAGGGCAGGCGCGAGGGGAGCGGGCGAGGGGTAGAGAGTGGAAAGGTGCTCATGTAAGGGGGGGGGGGCGGGGTGACGGGGATAGAGGGATAATTTGTCTAAACGTTGCAACAGCGCATGCATGCATGTGAAGTGAAACAGATGGATACCCACAACCATTTCACATGGGGCACGGCACAGACCATCAACCTGTAACCACTGAGAGCAGAATTGCATGAGGCACGAGACAAACCACATGAGTTATCACCAGCGAGCTCACCTGAAGCAGGCGGCAGCAGAAGCGAGCAAGGCTGGCTGGCAGCAGCGCTGACAGGCACGGCGGCACACACGTGGTCGCCTGGCGTGGCGTTGACCCGTGTGCTTGTGACGGCGCACATGCCAATGGTGATGCTGATGCTGATGGTGATGGTAATGGCCGTGCCCTTTCTTCACACTCCTCAATGCTGTCTGCTGCTGCTGTGGCTGAGATTGACTCGTCTGCAGCCTCTACTGTCGCTGCAGCCTTCCTTTTGTCTCCTTCTATACTCCCTCCTATCTCTCCCCCACCTCCTCCCTCCGCCCCACCGTGCATGGTTCCGAGCGGGGCGGGAAAGGGGTGCAGGTGGGCGCGGCGGGAGCAGGCAGCGACGGCACGGAAGATGCCGTAGAGGCATGGCGGGGAGGTGGAGGGGTCGCTCTGTGGGGGGGGGGAAGGTGGAGAGGGAGGGAAATGGGGAAAAGAGGGGGGAGAAAGAGACTATGTGGACGAAGCAGTGATGGCACGGAAGGTGCCGTACAGGCATGGCGCGGAGGTGGAGGGGTCGCTCTGTGGGGGGCACAAGGCGTGGGAGGGAGGGAAAAGGGGGGGACGAGGGAGAATTGCGGGAGGGGGCGGAAGGAGGGGAGGGGAGGATGGGGATGGGGATGGAATCAATGTGAGTGGAGAGTAGGAGATAGGGTTTGGGACAGCGAAACGGTGAAGCCTCTTCAAACCTGGTGGACGGGTCACTTTGGAATGGCGTTGGGAGGGAAAGAGAAGCGCAGGGGCGTGCAGAAGGGGGGAGAGAGAGCGACAGGGCCCCACGTTGGAATGACTGCAGCAGCGCAATGGGCCGGCTCACAGTGGCGGAGCACATGAGCACAGGAGGAAGTGCTCGCTGGACGGGCGGTGGAGGGGCGGTGGAGGGGCAAGGGAAGGCAAGGCATGGGAAGGGGCATGCAGTGACAGGCACAGCAGACGCGTGCACGTGGAAGCAGCAGCCCCGCACCCAGCACGGCACACGGCGGCAGCACTCACCAGGGCGGGTAGCAAGCAAGCACTCACGAGGGCAGCAGCCAGTGGCTGTGAGACGAGGTCCAACACTGCTGCTCCGTCCATCAACGCCCCTGCCTGGCCCCCCACGCCCCCTCCACCCCCCACACTGCCCCCCACTGCGCCCCCCACTCCAACCCCCACGGGCACGTGCACGAGAGCGGCACACACCGCCCCCACTGCCGGCTCCCGCTCCCATATCTCGCCACACAACCCCGAAGAATCTTCCAGGAACCGTCTCGACCCCGCTGACTTGCTCCGAGGAAGATCCGACAGTGGAGAGCTCTTCAATTCCCCCTTGGGCTCCGCCTGACCCGCGTGGGTGTGGCTGTGCCGCTGGTGGTGCTGCCTCTCCGCCTCCTCGTGCCGCCTCACTCGCCCTTGGAACGCGGCGGTGATGTCGGGGTGGGAGTGGGTGCGAGTGCGGGAGAGCAGCAGCGAGACGAGGAAGCCAAGGTACTCTGGCAAGCCCACTGCACCCTTCCTGTGCGCCGCCCCCACCACCTCCACTGCCCTCCCCGCCAACCACCGCATGCCACGTGGCAGCAGCAGTGCTGCTGCTGCTGCTTCAGACGCGTCCTGCTCCATGCCTTGCCCCTTGTGCTGCTGCTGCTCTTGCTGGGTTTGTGACTCCGACAAGTGTGAGTGTAACGAGTGGGAGGCGATGCAGCAGACGGCGAGGGACTGCAGGAGGGGGAGGGAGAGGCGGGGGAAGCAGAGCAGCAGGTCCAGCGAGAGCGCCTGCAGGGGCGCTGGCAGCAGCAGGAACGGCCCCACCACCAGCCGATGCCCCGCTGCTGCCTCCTCCGCCGCCGCTGTTTCGACTGCTGGCGCTGCTGCTGCGGGTGATGGGGCTGGTGTGGCTGGTGCGGCAGGGCGAGCAGCAATGGAGGCGGCAAAGAAGGGCACGAGCAGCGGCTGCACACTGCTGATGTGCTCCGATAGCGACGACGAGGAGGGTGGGGCGGAGGAGGAGGGGGAGGGCGGTGATTGTGGAGAGATGGAGGCGATGCGGAAGAAGAGGCGCAGCACCGTCTGGTGAGAGGGGGAAGGGAGAAGGGGAGTTGGGGGGGGCAGGGAGAGGGAGGGATGGTATGGGGTTTGGTATGGTGTTGAGTGAAAGGTGCAACAACAGGCACCAGAAAGCAGTCAACGCAGACACTTTTACATTGCCAGTTGGTGCTGCAGTAATAACCCTGCCAGTGACGTGGCACTTACCAGTGACGTGGCACTTACCAGTGACGTGGCACTTACCAGTGACGTGGCACTTACCAGTGACGTGGCACTTACCAGTGACGTGGCAGGATGGGAGGCCCCGATGTCCCAGAGCAGTCTGGGAAGAGCTGTCAGCCAATCAGCAACCGCCTTCTCCGGCAATCCTTCCGCCCCCCTCGCCCCTCCTCGCCTCCCTTCCTTTCTCTTCGCCTTCTTCCCCTCTCCCCCCTCCTCGCTCCCTTCCCCACCCTTCCCCCCTGAGCCCCCCTCCCCCCCCACCGCCTGTTGCTGCAGCAGCCCAAACATCACATCCAGGCAGGCAGCCCGGGTGGCGCTGCGGGCGGGCGACACGGAGAAGAGACGAGAGAAGCCGCCCAGCAGCGAGGCGCAGCGGGCGGCCGAGGGGGCGTAATGGAGGAGGGTCGGCAGGAGAGGGAGGAGGCGGCGGATAAGGGACTCGCTGACGTGGCGTGATAGGATTGGCGCAGCGGTGGGAGCAGGAAGCAGCTGCAAGGGGAAGGAAAGGATAGGGGGAAGATGCAGAGAGAGGAAAGGGATGGGCTTTGAGGCGAGAGAGAAGCGGGGAGGGGGAAGGACAGGACGAAGAGAACCATTTGCAGCCCTGCCCACCTCGAATCGCCCGGTGCTCTGTGCGAATGCATTCTGGATATTCACATCCTCACCGCGCCCCACCCCTCACCCAGCAACACCATGCAATGCCTCTCACCTTGCCCTCCATCGCGCCTTCCATGAACTCATACAGCCGCCCCACCCACGCCTCCTCCCTCGCCTCCTCCCTCTTCGCCTCCTCCTCCTCCTCCTCCTCCTCCTCCTCCTCATTCTCCCCCTCTTCCCCCCCTTCCTCCCCACCCTCCTCTGCTTCCTCGACATCGCCCCTATCTCCTCTCCTCCGCTCGCCCTCACGTTCACCATTCTTCCTTTTGCTTCTCTCGCTCCCGCTTCCCCTCCCCCCTCCCCCCTCCCCCCCCTCGTCCCCCGCTCATCCGAATCACAAATCTGCTCCCTTCCAGTAACTTCCTCCGCGCGTCTCCCCTCACCGCTCCCCTCCCTGTCCCCCTTTCCCCCCGCACATCCCCTCCGCCAGCCCCCAGCGTCCCCTTTCCCCCCTCCCCTTGCACACCCCTCCGCCTCTTCCCCATACCCCTCCCACCAGCACCAGCTGCACCGGACCCATCAGCAGCAGCAGCAGCAGCAGCAGCAGCGGCAGCGGAGGCAGGGAGAAAGAGAGAGAGGCATTCAGCGAGCAGCACGTTGAGCAGCGCCAGCTGTTCGCCCACCTCCCTCTGCTGCCCTCCTCTTGCTGCTGCTGCTGCCCCACCGGCGGTACCGCTGCTGCCTTTGGTGCCCTTGGCACGACCAGCAGCGAGGCCAGCAGGGGCGTGCAGAGGGAAGGCCGTGCCCAGCTTGTGCAGCACCCGTGACAGCGCGTCCCCGTACCCGCCCTGCTGCTGCTGCTGCTGCTGCTGCTGGTGCTGGTGATTCTGATGTTGGTGCGGCTGGGATTGTTGCTGCTGAGCTGGCTGTGCTGCGCCTGCAGCAGCTTCAGGCATGTGCGGAAAGATGGAGGAAAATGACTGGCACCCGGCAGAGTTGGTAGGCGTGAATCCCGAGAGCAGGGGCGAAGGGGAGGAGGGGAAGGAGGAGTTGGAAGGGGCTGAGGAAGAGAGGAGGGCCGCGGGGGAGGGGGGGTGGAGGGAGAGGAGGGAGTGGAGGGCGGAGAGGGCGGAGTGCAGGCAGGCGAGAGCGGGCAGGTGGGGGGAAGGCGCGGAGACAAGGGGAAGGCACTCTGTGACCGCTGCAAGCACAGGCGGGATGAGCGCTGCTGCTATGCCTGCTGGGCGGCTGAGCCCCTCCATACCCCCCTCTGCTGCTGCCATGCCTGTTGCTGCTGCTGCTTGCTGCCCTCCCGGCCCTGTCGCTGCTTTTGTCTCTTTCGAAGCGGACAGAGCCTGTCCGGTACTGTGGAGCGAGGGTGAGAGAGAGGGGAGGTGGGCGGAGGAGGAGGAGGGGGAGGGAGGGGGGAGGGCGGAGCGGTACGCGTGGAGGGCTGTGATTGGCCCGTCTGATTCCCGTGACCAGAGCACATGGTAACCAGACTGGTTACCCCCAGGGGGGAGGGCGGAGAGGAGAGGGGCGCGCTGCAGGCGCACGCCCAGGCGCCAGCTGTACTCCCCTGGGGGCGCGCAGGCGGAGGGGGGGGAGGGGGCGGAGGCGGAGGGGGAAGGGGGGGATGTGGCGGAGAGAGTGGGGAGTGGGTGCGTGAAGGGGGAGGTGGGCAGAGGGAGCGCGGAGCCAGGCGGTGTGAGGGAGGGCGAGGAGGTGAAGGAGGGGGATGGGACGGTGGGGGAGGAGGCGGAGGGGGAGGATGAGGGGGAGGAGTGGGGGAAGGCGGTGGAGAGGAAGGAGGTGAGGGCGGAGAGCGTGGTGGCGAGGGAGGGGAAGGAGCGCGCAGAGGGCGACGCGAGGGCGAGCATGTCACTGAAATGTGCCACCACCTGACGATGGGGGGGAAGGTGAGGGGAGGCCAGGGGATGACACGGATGGTGGTGCGAGGAGAAGACTCGTCAGGAGGAAGCAATAACGATGGGCCGGTGAGTATGTGAAGAGGGAAGAACGGTGTCAAATGGTTACAAGGCTTGAAGTCAAGTCAACCGTGCATGCATGAGGTGGGGATGCAAAGGAGAGGAGGGGAGGGTGGGGAGGGAGAGGAGGGAAGGGGTGGGGAGGGGAGGGCTGAGAGTACCTGGGCGGTGGAGGAGGCGCGGAAGAGCGAGGGGTAGTGGGCGAGCAGCGCTGAGAGGAATGGCAGCGCGGCATGGCGGATGTCCGGCGCCACGTGGGTCATGGCACAGCCCACGTGGCCCATCAGCAGCGTGAAGAATGGCGCCATGCGCTCCTGGGAGGGGGGAGTTAGTGGAGGGGGGAGGGCAGGGAGAAGAACGAAAGAGGTGTGCAGCACACCATGCATTGTGCACATTGGGTGGTGAGGATGACCTGAAGCGCGAATTCTCTGTGGCACGGTGCCAACAGCCGTTTGGTTCATGGCTGGCAGCACCACCCATCTTCCTTCCTCTCCACCTCCTCTCCTTCCTCTCCACCTCCTCTCCTTCCTCTCCACCTCCTCTCCTTCCTCTCCACCTCCTCTCCTTCCTCTCCACCTCCTCTCCTTCCTCTCCACCTCCTCTCCTTCCTCTCCACCTCCTCTCCTTCCTCTCCACCTCCTCTCCTTCCTCTCCACCTCCTCTCCTTCCTCTCCACCTCCTCTCCTTCCTCTCCACCTCCTCTCCTTCCTCCTCCTAGATTCTCCTTTTGCGTTTCTCTCCCGTCCTGTTACTCCTCTCCTCTCTACTCACCCCACCCTATCCCTAGTACCTTCCTACCCCCTCTCCTTTCAAGTCCCATCCCCCACATACCTATGCCCCACTCCCCCATCCATCCCAACCCCGTCACATTAACTCCCCTTCGCTCCGCACCACAACCCAGGCTGCATGCAGCGAACCGCACCTCGGGCTGCATGGTCGGGAAGAGCACGGAACGCATCAGCAGCAGGAGGGAGTCTCTCGTCTTCTTGTCCACGTCAGCAATGCGTGGCGCCAGCTTGGCGAGGATGGTGCCAGCATGGCGCCTCAGCTCGTCGGGATTGGCTGCCAGCAGTTCGCGCAGGCGAACGAGCGACTCTGATTGGCCGGCAGAGCGAGGGAGAGGAGAGGAGAGGAAAGGAGAGAAGAGGAGAGGAGAGGAGAGAAGAGGAGAGGAGAGGAGAGGAGAGGAGAGAAGAAGAGAGGAGAGGAGAGGAGAGGAGAGAAGAAGAGAGGAGAGGAGAGATGGGGAGAGGAGAGAAGAAGAGAGGTGTGAGTGGAGGGCAGGAGATTATCGATGGTGCGGCGTGGTAGCATGCATGCATGCACAAGCAAGTGAACTGAACACCCCTGCCATGCCCTCCCATGCTCCCTGCCTGCCCTGACAAGCCTCATCCTGCCGAGCCTACCTTGCCGAACCTTGTCGCTGTAGTGGCCGGACTGCGCGAGCAGCTCCGGCAGCGTGTGGCCCCTCTGTGACACCGCCGCCTGCGACCGGTCGTCCAGCAGCTTCTGCCCCGGCAGCACGATCGCTGGGGAAGGCGGGGACGGGGGAGGTGGGGAAGGGGAGTGGGGGGGAAGGGGAGGGGAGTGGGGGGGAAGGGGAGTGGGGGGGAAGGGGAGTGGGGGGAAGGGGAGTGGGGGGGAAGGGGAGTGGGGGGAAGGGGAGTGGGGGGGAAGGGGTAACGGTGGGCGGGGGTTGTGGGGGGGTGGCTGTTGAGTGGACTCATGAGTCACCGCCGCCTGCGACCGATCGTCTAGCAGCTTCTGGCCCGGTAGCACGATGGCTGAAAGGAGGGGGGTGGACGGGGGGGGTTGGGGGGGGTGGAGGATGGAGGGAGGCACCTCAAACGCCGATCGGCGGGATTTTGATGTGCGAATGGCGATTTGGAACGGGAGAGAAGGGGAAACTGGATTGCTGGATCAACAAGAAGCGGGCAGCGGGAAGGGCGCGCCGAGAGGAATGAGAAGGGGAGAACGAGCAGTCACGGAGGGAGGGGGGGAGTGGGAGCGAGGGAGAGGGGGCGTCACTGTGTTGACTCTCGGCTCACTCACTCTTGGCCTTGACGGTGGTCTTGGTCTCGTTGGACGGCGGCGGTAGCTTGCGCCCCACCTTGCTGCGCACTTTCTGCCATGCGCGCGCGCAAGGAGTCGCGCGCGGAGGGATCGAGGAAGAGGGGCGGAGGGGGAGAGGAAGAGGGGCCGGGAAAGAGGGAGTAAGAAGGTGGGAGTACGAGAAGCAAGGGGCAGCACACGGCCGTGCGCGTGTTGATGCAGCCGCGGAGCAACCAAAAGGCAATGCGCGGGCAGCGCAGAGCGAATGCACGGGCGGTCGGATCAAGGCGGGGTGAGACGAGGCTATAAACGGATCGCCAACTGTAGCGGCAGCGGACGAGGCGGTCTAGGCCGATGCAGGCAGGTGGAGAGACGCTGTGTGGCGACAATCAATGTGGCGAAGCGACATGTAACGTGGCGAGCGCACGGTGCGGCGAGACGGTAGTGCGCAGTGCGCGTAAGCGCGACACCCGCTGGACGGAGATACGCGGATGTGGCGCACGCAGAGCGAAGGACGCGAGGCGCCACACCCGCGAGGGACGACGAGGCCTTCCGCGACGAAATGCAGGGTACGACGAGGCGCTAACGGCCCTACACGCGATCCCTAAGGACGGATTAATCGAACAGGCGGCCCTTATGACCGACCTAAGGATTGACCGTAACGATCATACCGGGTAACTCTAACGGCCGATCGTACCTTGAAATCCACGCCCTTGTGCTTCAACCGCACCGCCTTCTGATTGCCCATGGCTCCCTCGCAGTGCGGTACGATCAACGTCCAACCAAGATTCTCAACGGCAAGCTAAAAAATGCAAATGCACGGAAAAGGTGGAAGGATCTGACACGATTGGAATAATCAGTGAACCGACAGACCCAGTGGCACCCTTTTCGGTTGGACGTAATGTTGGGGTACAGGGGGGAGGGGAGGAGTGCTTGCCTTGCGCCTGACGAAGTACGAGGGATGCCAATCATGCTCACAGCATCCTCCTGCTCCTGCTGGTGGCACATAAACCTCCGTAGAAACCCGAACCCGAACCCTGGATGGTGGAAGGAAAATGACAAGGACCATTTGGCGCTATACGTGGCCGCGTTACTGCCATTATGCAACCGACTCGTTTGGAGGATCTTGTCTTATCGCATATGTTGGTGGCTTTTCTATTATACCACTCACAAGAGAGCTTCAATTTGTTCATCCAATTTTTTTTCGTGGTTGGATAAAACGTATAGTCTAGATCGACATATAGTCTTACCAACCGGTCCTTTATTCAACAAATTACGGCATATTTAAAAGAAGGTAGACAAATGCAACTACGGTAACTATGCATTCCATATAAATTCTTGGAGTATGTATTTCAGAATGCATTTCCAAAAAAGAAGGGGAAAAAAATCACTTGCTTCTTTTTTATAGAACCTCTCAGTTTTCTGACGCCCTCTCTCGAAAAGAATGCGTGCCTATCCTATTGTGCATCTCTCAGAGTGCACCTTCCAGAACTCAATTATTAAAGAAAAAAAAGGGGGGGGATGAGAGGATTGGGGGTATGCGAGGAGTGGGGGTTAGGTATGAGGGAGGGGAGTGGGGAGTATGAGAGTGGGGGTTATGAGAGGAACGGCCAAGGTGTTTCAGGTAATGGCTTGGAACCTGTGGAACTCTACCCGGGGCAACAGGTTTGAAGGGAGTGGGGGGTGTATGCGGAGTGGAGGGAAAGAGAGGAGTGGGGGCTTCAAGAGGAGTGTGTGGTATAAGAAGGATGGGGAGTACGAGAGGAGTGGGGATTAAGAGAGGAGTGGGGGATATGACAGGAGTGGGGGATATGACAGGAGTGGGGGTACATAGTGTGGGGTATAAGAGGAGTTCGATGTATGAGGGAAGTGGGGGGTGTGAGAGGAGTGGAGGGGACGAGAGGAGAGGGGGCTATGAAAGCGTGGGTGGTATGTGAGGAGTGGGGGGTATGAGAGGAACCATGGGTATGAGAGGAATCGTGGGTATGAGAGGAATCGTGGGTATGAGAGGAATCGTGGGTATGAGAGGAATCGTGGGTATGAGAGGAATCGTGGGTATGAGAGGAATCGTGGGTATGAGAGGAATCGTGGGTATGAGAGGAATCGTGGGTATGAGAGGAATTGTGGGTATGAGAGGAATCGTGGGTATGAGAGGAATCGTGGGTATGAGAGGAATCGTGGGTATGAGAGGGGAAAGGAGTGGGGGCATGAGGGAAGTGGGAGGTATGAGACGAGTGGGGGATACGAGAGGGGCGAGGTGTACGAGAGGAAGGGGGGTATGAAGGGAATGGGGGAAGATGGTGTGGGAGAATGAAAGGAGTTGGAGGTTTGAGAGGAATGGGGGGTATGAGAGGAGTGTGGGGGGTATGAGGGGACTGGAGGGTGTGAGATGTGTGGGGGATATGAGAGGAGAGGGGGGTATGAGTGGAATGGGCTATGAAACGAGTGGAGGTTATGTGATGAGTGGGGGTTATGAGAGGAGTGGGGGGAATGAGAGAATGGAGTTTAGGTTATGAAAACAGTGAGGGGGTGGGGATTCTGAGAGGAAAAGGGGGTATGAGAGGTTGTGGGAGGTATGAGAAGATTGGGGGGCATGAGAAGACTGGTGGGAATGAGATGAGTGGGGGGCATTGGAGAAGGGGAGAGAAGTGGGGGGTATGAGAGGAATAGGGGAATGAAAGGAGTGGGGATTATGAGAGGATTGGGGTGTATGAGGGGAGTGGGGGGTGTGAGAGGAGTGGGGAGCATGAGAGAATTAAGAAAGAGGTATTATAGGAGAAGAGGGTATGGGAGGATTGGGGGTTATGAGAGGAGTGGGGGGTATGATAGCGAAGGAATATGGGGTCTGAGAGGAGTGCGGAGTATAAGATGAGAGGGGGGTGTGAGGAGTGGGGGTTATGAGAGAAGTGGGTTGTATGAGAGGAGTGTGGGGTGTTAGAAGAGTGGAGGGTATAGAAGAGTGGGGTGCATGAATGGACCGGGGGAAATGGGAGGAGTGGAAAGAATGAGAGAATTGAGTGGTATAATAGGAGTGGGGGGTATGAGAGGAGTGAGGTATGAGAGGAGTGAAGTATGAAAGGAGTGGAGGGTATAAGAGGAGGGATGGGGAGAATGACAGGAGTGGAATGTATCGGAGGAGTGGGAGAATGTGGGAATTGGAGGGTATGAGGAGTGAGGGGTACGAGAGGAGTGTGAGTTATGAGAGGAATGGTGGGTATGTGAAAATTAGGGGGTAGGAAGGAGAGCAGTGGTGAGAATGGGAGGAGTGCAGGATATAAGAGTAACGGGGTGTATGGGTGGAATGGGGGTTATGAGATGAGTGTGGGGTATGAGAGGAGTGGAGGGAAGGAGAGGAGTGAATGAGAGGATTGGGGGAATGGCAGGAGTTGGGGGTACGATTGGAATGGGGGATTTGGGAGGAGTGAGGAGTATGAAAGAATTGGGTGGTACCGTATATTAGGAGTAAGGGAATGAGGAGTGAGGGGTATGAGTGCAGCGAGTGGATATGAGAGGAGTGTGTAGGGGGGAGGTGGGGTATGGGACGAATTGGGGTATGATAGGGTAGGAGCGGTGGGTATGAGAGAATGGTGGTTTGCGGAGTGGGGGCCTTTGAGACTGCACAGGGGTGACCTGCCTTGACTTGACACGGCTGAGTGTGGCCAACCAAGGCTCCGAACTGGGTGAGGTGAATGCTGGCTGTGCTGCTGGGAAAGGGAAACCAGAGGTGACAAAATTCAAGAAAATAATATAATACGAGGTTCGGAATGATAGGAAGGCAAAAGGGAGGGGGGGACACTAAACAGAAGTGGAGTACCCCCAATTCTGGGATATATACACTCTGGTGTGTTGAATCAGCCGGGTGCGTTTAAAGCATATTCTACGTCCTACAAGCACCCTCCATTCTCCGTCAGCGATTTTTTTATACCCCTACCTCAGGTGGGAGGGTGATTGGCACTTCTGTGGTTGCGGCTGGCTTATCCTCTGTCCCTCATTCGTTCGCCATACTTGCGCAGACGTCGGATTGGGCACCAAGTTTCCACTCTTCCAAAACCCATCAATGTGGCGCTGCTGCGATGAGTCGGGGGAAACCGCGGGAATGAGACACATGTATCTTGAGAGTTTTTCTGGGTCAACATAACCAAAGCCAGAAAATATGTTCTCTTTATTAAACCTGAGTGGTTACTGTACAGAGCAGATTATTCCCATGTTAATGCCAGAACCTGCGTAGTACCGGTATGGTTGCATGCAGTTTCATAAACTAAATCTCTAAGCTTATGAGTGGCGAAAGAAACATCAGCGCCGGAGCATGCCACAGAATGCAGTATCAATATGCTCGAGCATTCTAAGCTCAGATAAGTCGTCAGGCAGAGCCTCCAGCTGCTCGCATTCATAGATATCAAGCATCCTCAGTCTGCTGAGCTGAGTAAAGCCAGGCGGAAGCAGCCGGATGCTGGTGTGGCTGACGTTCAGCTCATGCAGGCAGGAGAGCTGTGTGAGGGACGCAGGGAGGTGCACGAGGGATGAGCAGCCGGATAGGTCCAGCTTGCGCAGCCTTGAAAATGCCCCAAAGTTGTGCGGAAGAGAAGACAAGTGTTCCGCGTTGATCTTAATGGATGTGAGGTGGTGGAGAGTGGTGATGGCAGCAGGCAGCTGTTTGAGTCCAGCATTACCCAGGGTGTTCAGCTGCCGTAGCTCCTGCAAACCCGAGCCCTCACACTCCACCAGCGAGTTCACACTACGGACCCCCGAGGCTGACAAGGTGCGGAGGCTAGGAAGCCTGGTCAGCGCAGTCAGAGACTCATCTCCTTCTGCCAGCACCAGCTCCAAGTGCTCCATACCGGAGAGATGCTCACCAATGGCCTCAATACAGGCAGCATCCATCATGTCCAAGCACAGCTGCCTGAGCCCTGTAAGGCTTGAAACATCAGGCAGAGACTCCACCTGTTGGTTGCCTGAGTACCACAGAGCCTGGAGACTGAGCGGCAGAGCCTGAGGGGCTTCGCTCAGCAACCAACTGTCCCGCAGCTCCAACTGTGTCAGGCTGGTCAGCCCATCCAACCTCCTGGGAACCGCCACAAGATCGTGACACTCTGTGATCCTCAGCACTCGAAGGCTGCCAAGCGCCGCCACACAATCCGGAAGCTCCTCAAGAGAAAGGCAGCGTTGAATGTAGAGCTCCTGCAGGTTTGTCATCTCCCCCATGCCCTCTGGCAGCTCAACAATGTCGCACTCTTCCAGCTCCAGCCTGGTCAGCGAAGCCAGCTGCGTGAATGACGACGGCAGCTGCTGTAGGCCGCACGCTTTGATATGAAAGGTGTGGAGATTGATCAGCCCCCCCAAGTCTTCTGGAAGCTCCAGGGACGGTGACCCTTCAAGGATCAGAGACCGGAGGGCTGTGAGGCGACCAAACCCTGCAGGAAGCTCCTCCATCTCGTCGCACAAAACCAGGAAAAACGTCTCCAGAGTTGCAAGTCTGGTGAACGAGGCAGGGAGGGTGCGAAGCGGCAGCTGGTCCAGCACCAACGCCTTCAAGGTGGGAAAATCGCCAAAAATTGCGGGCAGAGTGGATACGCTACAAACGGATATTGTCAAGGTCTCCAGGCAGGTGAGCGAGGTGAACTCGTCGGTCAGATCGTTGAGGGTTTCGCAGCTCATGATGCTGAGCTCTTGCAGGCGCGGCAGCACCTGCCCAATACCGTCTGGAAGCCGCTCCTGGTTGAAGCAATGGCTAAGCTGCAGGCGTTTCAGGAGTCTGTACGGCGATCCGGGAGGGAAAAATACGCTGAAATGTGCATCGGACAGTCCGAACTTGAGCGAGTGGAGAGTAGGAAGCTGTGCGAGAGAGAAGGCGGGCGGATCTGCTGGGATCATGCGAATCTCGTCAGGCAAGGCGAGGCGCGTGAGGTTGGTGAGTTGAAGGAGGGTGGAGAGCTGGTTGTATTGAAGGGAGTAGGTTTCGATGGAAACTGCTGTGAGAGACGAGAGGGAGCTGAGATTAGGAGACTTTAAGATGAAGGCGCTGGTCAAGACGAGGGTGCGCAGATGCTGAAGCTGGAAGAACGAAGCTGGTGGGTTCAGATCTTCCTCGAGACAGCACAGCGACAGCTGCTCCAGTTGAGAGCAGTGACGAAAGAAGTGATCCAAGCCCGATTCCGTTATGACGCGGCCATTCCTAACGTGCCGTCCCGCGTCCGGTTCTACTTCCCCCATCAGCTTCCCACATGCAGCGCCCTCAACCCAGGGCACGAATCGGCGAGGTCAGCTAGAAACGCGTCGTCCAACGTTTCAACACTAAAGTCCGAAAGGTGCAGATGGGTTAGATGGGGAAAGCATGCGACCGCGTTGAGCACATCGCGGTGAGACACGACGCGGTTATCCTTCACGAGCAGCGACGAGACGTGCCTCTGAGCCAGGCGTAGCCAGCGACGGCAGATCGACGCAAGAAAAAGGTTGTGAGCGGCATCCGCGGAGGCGGGAGGAGTCGACATGGGAGAGTCTGCTCGCTTGCGCCATGGCTCTTCCGGAGTAGAGTGCGCGACCAGGTACGTAGGCCTGGGCGCTATAGGGTTCCACAGGTGATGATCGCCCTCAGATATGTACGGGCTTGACGGTGTGGAAGGCCACAAGATCCTAATTAGGACGTCGTCGAGGAGATCGTGGATGTGACTTCGCCTAGAGTCCATGCTAGCAGCCGTCACGTGCCAACGACAGCTCATGTGAAGCTAATAAAACCTTGCCAGAGTGGAATGGCTGGGAACACGGCTTCCAGGAGTGTAAAATAGCTCGATAGGAAATGTTGGTTGAGCTCTTTCTGACTAGTAGTACGGCCTCATACAGATACGACAGTTGCTGCCGTTGAGGATTCGCCCAATCACCTATCGCAAGAGAACGCTGAGGTCGCTGCGGGAGAATGTGTGCACCGCAGCTAGGAAGATGCTCACTTGGCTACCCTGTGCTTTCAGCAGGTGCTATACGGGATTCACATCGCAGCTCGCAGTTTAGTTCCGCATGCTTGCTGCTCGCGATCCAGACGCTCATAAGGCTCTATGTTGATAGATCGATCGAGCAGTTTTCCCCTGGATTTCTCAGCATTCGTTCCATGATGAGAGCCGCTCTTCCAACTTCCCGAGGATGACACTTAGGGCGTGTCACCTCGCTGTTCGAACGACACTCTCATTTGAACAAGCGAAATGTTACCTTTTTTCGCCATGCCTTTTGAGGTTTGTGCGGGCTGCCTATCCCCAATCATTCTTCCCCCAACCAAGCCTGCCATCCAGATGGGTGAGCCTTCGCGAGGCACAGAAGCTGGAGTTCTTAGGGCGTAGTGCAAAACGAGGTCCAGTCTGTCGTGGGGTCGTTTTGCAGGTCAATTTGCGAATTGGATGAATGGGGCGATGGTTATAGCGGAACCTTTGGCGAGATCGCGGCAATTGTCGTGCGAATTTCGTTAGGAGCTAGCAAAGCAGGTCAAATCTGTAGTTGAACCACTCGCTCGAACTTCGTGCGTCGATCATATTTCGCATCCCTCGCGACACGATAGCGCCTTCGTCGCAGCCAGCTCTGCGCGCATCACCGCGACATTCCTTCGCGGCGAGTCGCCCACGCGGCGCGCGGCGACGTGCTCGTCGGGTTCACGCGTCGCCATGCCTTCCGCCGCACCGCCTCGCGACGCGACCCCCGCCGTCGCGACGTCCGCGGCGAGCGTGACGCCGCACCGAGTGGCGCTCGCGCTGCTTCTGCGCCTCCTCGCGGGCCCGCCGCACTCCGCCGAGCCCGGGCTGGCTGACGAACTCCGCGCGCGTGCCGCCCCGCCCTCCCCGCCGCCCCGCCGCGTGCGGCAGCGGCTGGCGCTCTTCCTGCTGCGCGAGACCAGGGTGAGGCGCTCGGGGGGGAAGAGGTGCGCTGATGGAGGTGGGGGGAGGTGCGTTGCTTGGGGGGAAAGGTGCGCGGTTGGGTTGCACCGCTGGGGAAGAAATGCTCGCTGCTGGGGGGAAGAGGCGCTTTTTGCGGGCAAGCAAGTTGCTGTTCTGTGGGCGGCGGTAGCTGCTGCTGGGGAATGCTCGGTGCTGTGGCAGCGCAGAGGCAGCGCGGTGGAGGGGAGAGAGTGAAGACAGAGGGTGGGGCGGAGCAAAAGGAGGGCAGGGGTTCAACGGTGCTGGGAACGGTGCAGTGTGGCGGCAGATGCTGAGGGGCGAGAGGACACAAGTCAGCCAGAGAAGCACAGCATGCATGCATGCATGCATCCATGTCATGCATGCACACTGTCATCATCCGCTCCAAATGTCAGGCAGGAGGCAGCAAGCTGACCGGTGGCAGTGGCAGGTTGGGGGAGTGGAGGTGTGGTAACGGACTCAGCCTATCCTCATATTCCGCCCCTCCAATCTGTTGCTGTCTGCTCCTCCTGTCCTGCACAACGCCCCCCTTCCCCTGCCCATCCTGTCCTTACCTTTGTCCTTTATCTCATTGCCTCTACACCACCCCTTTCCAGCTTCCCCCGCCGCATCCACCCCCCTCGCCTGCATCATTGCCGCCAGTGGCACTGTTGCTCCTCGCCCCTCCTCGCCCAGTTCTCCCTGCCGGCTCCATTCGTCTCCTCGTATCTTAACTCTCTGAAATCCACTCCATCCCTCATCACCCCTCACTCACACCAGCAACGCCCCCATCACCCCCCAACACCCCTCATCACCCCCCAACAACACCATCCCCCACACAGGCAGTGAACTCCTGGCACGAGCCATCTCTGAGCGCGCTGCTGCTGCGACTGGCAGCGGAGGTGAAGGAGGGAAGGGGTGGGGGAGAGGCGGAGGCAGGCAGGGGGGGCCACGGAGAAAGGGGAGAGCGGGGCAGGAATGCAGAGGCGGAGGGAGCAGAGGAAGGGGAGGAGGGGTGGGGTGATGCGGGGGAGGTGCTAGTGCAGCAGCTGCAGGCACTGCAGTCACCAGATGACCTCTTCTCCCTCTTCGCCTCCCTGCACTGTGAGTTCAATGGAGGCCTTTTGATTCAAATCAAGAGACGACTTTTGATTTTTGAGTCGACTCAGAAGTGCAGGCACTGCAGTCCCCAGACGACCTCTTCTCCCTCTTCGCCTCCCTGCACTGTGAGTTCAATGGAGGCCTTTTGATTCAAATCAAGAGACGACTTTTGATTTTTGAGTCGACTCAGAAGTGCAGGCACTGCAGTCCCCAGACGACCTCTTCTCCCTCTTCGCCTCCCTGCACTGTAAGTGGTGCAGTGTGAGTGGGGCACTGTGAGTGGTGCACTGTGAGTGGGGCACTGTGAGTGGTGCACTGTGAGTGGTGCACTGTGAGTGGTGCAGTGTGAGTGGTGCAGTGTGAGTGGTGTGTTTGAATGTCCACTTTACATGCATGGATAGCTGCACGCATGGACATGTGCACTCATGGACATGTGCACTCATGGACATGTGCACTCATGGACATGTGCACTCATGGACATGTGCACTCATGGACATGTGCACTCATGAACATATGCATGAGGTCTGTTCTATGTGTTCTAGTCCTCCACATGGACATTGGTTGCACGCAATGTTTATGAATACTGCAATTATCCCTCCACTACTCTGCAAGCAAGCAAGCAGGCAGACACGAGGAGTGTTTCCTTGTCACCTCTTCCCCTCCTTCCCAGTCCTCTTAATCTTCTCCCCGTTCCTTGCATCGCACTCCACCACTCATTTCCTCTCATGCCTGCCTGCCGTTCCCGCGCAAACTCCCCCCTTTAACGGCCGTGTTGCAGCGTGTGTGGCGCGCAGCACGTCCCCTCCGCGCCACCGGGCAGCATTTTGAGGCGCCTTGAAACCCATGCTTGCCCTGTCCCCCGCCCCTCCTCTCCCCCTCACGACCGTGTTGCAGTGTGTGTGGCGCGCAGCACCTCCCCTCCGCGCCACCGGGCAGCAGCAGCAGCGTCGCCCGCCTGCCAGCCTATCACCCGTGGCAGTGCTCTCGGCCTCTTCCTGCGCTCGCTGCTGCTCTCCTTCCACCACCTGCCCTTCCAGGTGCTCCCATGCACACATGCACCCATGCACCCATGCACACATGCACATGTGCACGTGCATACATGCACTCGTGTGCTCGGCCTCTTCCTGCGCTCGCTGTTGCTCTCCTTCCACCACCTGCCCTTCCAGGTGCTCACATGTGCACATGCACACACATGCGCATATATGCACACCCATGAACACATGTGCACATGCACACACATGCGCATATATGCACACCCATGAACACATGTGCACATGCACACACATGCGCATATATGCACACCCATGAACACATGTGCACATGCACACACATGCGCATATATGCACACCCATGAACACATGTGCACATGCACACGTGCATACATTCTCGCATGCACACATGTGCACATGTACAAATGCACACATGCGTGCATGTGCACATGCACACACGCCCGCATCCGCACAAGCACACATGCGCACATGCGCGCATGCACACGTGCCCGCATGCGCGCATGCTCACATGCACGCATGCGCACATGCACTTCATTCCACAGATGCACATGACCTAAGCACCATCCTTCCCGTTCGTGACACATGGCATGCATGGCGCATGGCAGGCAGTGTGCATTGTGCTGGGCGACATCCACGAATACCTCCACCACGCGGGCTTCTCTGGCAGCTCTCGCAGCGCAGGCAGCGCAGGCAGCATGGATGAGCAGACGGGCAGGCGGGAGAGCACAGGGGAGGCCGCACAAGGGGAGTGGGTGTTAGGGGAGGAGAGGGGGGATGCAGGGGAGGAAATGGACGTAGACGTGGGGGTGGGCGTGGGAGTGGATGGGGGTGCAGGTGTGGGCGTGGAGGGAGGGGAGCCATGTGTTGCCCCACAGCCTCTGTCCTTCGATACTGTCACACACCGTAGAAGAACGACCCATGAAGGCACGCGTGAGGGCAGCCTGGAAGCAGCAGAAAGGGGGATGTGGGACGGTGGAGGGGCTGGGGCAGGGGCGGGGGCGAGGGTGGAAGAGGACAGGACAGCATGGGAGGAGGAGTTTGAGCGGGAGGTGCTGGGGCGAGGGGGGAGAGGGGGAGGGCAGGGGGATGATGCTCTGATGCCTTCTGGGGGGGATGATGGGGGCTTGTGGGGGGGAGGAGCTGGGAGAAGGAGCAGTGGAGGGATGATGGGGAAGGAGGGGCGGGAGAGTGGACGGGAAAGAGGGGGGCGGAAGCAGAGGGGAGGTGGCGGCATGCAGAAGCAGTTTCTGCGGGAGGCAGGGCGGCTGGCGGAGTACCTTGATGGGCGGATAGAGGAGGCTAGCAGGTGAGGGAAGAGGAGGCTAGCAGGTGAGGGAAGAGGAGGCTAGCAGGTGAGGGAAGAGGAGGCTAGCAGGTGAGGGAAGAGGAGGCTAGCAGGTGAGGGAAGAGGAGGCTAGCAGGTGAGGGAAGAGGCTGCGCGGTAGTGGGGATAGAGTGAGCACTGTGTTCTTGGGTTTGGACCCCCATCATCTGTTCTGATTTCTATGTTTTGTTGAACTTCGTTTTTGCGTTTGTTTCTTACCTAAGTTCGTTGGGATGGGGGAGGGATGGGCTCGGATGGAAGTTAGAGCTTGCAAAAATCATCCAACCTGCCTCCTTCAGCCCTAAGATCAAACCTGTCCAGCTCGGGTTGCATTGCGCGGGGTTTGCCCCTCTCTCCTCCGTCTGCCCGTGTCACCATCCCGTGTGCGCAACAGACGAGGGGCAGCAGCAGCGGGCCCAAGGACTGAGCAAGGACAGCAAGGAGAGGACAGCAAGGACAGCAGCCTCCCCTTTCGTCCATTGTGCACAATGGATGATGCACATGTGGACGACCAGAGCGCACTGGCTCATGCACATGACCTGCCGCCAAAGGTGCATGGTGGCTGGTTGAATCGAATGCATGACTTGATGAATAGTGTTATGTTTTACGTAGCAGCTCTGGACCAAAACTCTCTTATCTGCTGCTCTCTAACTCTAATCTCGATCCCATCTGTCCCCGAATGCACCACTTCCTGCATGGCAACGCGTGGCATGGCATTGCATGGCAACGTGTGGCATGGCATTGCATGGCAACGCGTGGCATGGCATTGCATGGCATGGCATTGCATGGCAACGTGTGGCATGGCATTGCATGGCAACGTGTGGCATGGCATTGCATGGCAACATGTGGCATGGCATTGCATGGCAACGCGTGGCATGGCATTGCATGGCAACGTGTGGCATGGCATTGCATGGCAACGTGTGGCATGGCATTGAATGGCAACGCGTGGCATGGCATTGCATGTAATCCCGTGGCATCCCATGTGTGCATGGCATCAGGTGCATCTATGGCAGCATCACGAGTCGCTCTCCTCGCGCCATCTCTCCGACTCCCTCTCCTCACTGCACCGCTACTTTGACTACAGGTGCTCGCATTACACAGGGTAGCATAAAAACCACGATGCATGCAGTGCAGGCACATGAATGGAGTGCATGGGATGTGCTTGGGTGTTCTTTTTTTTCCGAGGTGACCTTTGAGTCGACTCAGAAGTCAGCACAGATTTTGGAGGGCGAGCTCGTCCGGCACCACAGATACGCGCCAAAGTGGTGCCGGACCTTAATCCCTGCAATTTGGGTGTGAGCTGGTTTGTGTTGGAGCAGTACCACAGACATCTTGAGATTTAGGTCGGCCGGGTTCTGTGTTGGATAGAGACTGGGCAGGAGCGAGCATGTTTGTCACGGGCCTTGGAGTTGGACGGTGTGTGGCGTCACACATGTGACGGTTCACTCCAATCTTTCTACACTCACCTTTTTCTCCCGTTTTTTTTTCCGTCTCCGTAGTGCTTATTGCTACCTTTTCCGATTGGCAAAGCGTACGAACGGTTGTGATACATACATGTCAAGTAATGAGATTCCATTCCACGCTGCATAACATACACAAGCACATATAGATAGTATCATGGGATCAGATGTGTCATAAGTGCCTGGGGGAGTGGTTGTATTGATACCAACCGCGCACCAGATGGCCTACTCTCTCACACCTCCTCCTCAACCTCCATACACAACTATTCACCCAAACAACTATACATCATACTAATGAAATCATAGCAAGTTGAAAGAAATCATCTTTGAAGAGGTGAGGCAGAACAAGAACCGAAGTCAGAGCTGGAAGTGAGGTCCGCCCCGACTGCTACGTGACCCACACTCCTCGGGCCGTTCCCATCCGCGTTGAGCAGGCAGGCAGGGGCAGGGCTGTGTGAGTATGGAAATGTGTGGGGCACGGTTGCAGTGAAGTCACCGCCAACATGAGTGATCTCAGTCAGTATGCATGCCCTTTCCAAACCCTCTCCCCCGACTCCCCTCCCGCCCCCTTCTCCACCCCCCTCACCCTCTCACGATCAATCCTGCCTCTTCCCTCATCTCCTCCCCCCACCACGTAGTGCGGGCATGGCAGCGGTGGGCGGGCGGGCAGCATCGGACTGGTGGGCGGGGCGGTTCCAGGCAGGGCTGCTGGTGGAGGGCGGCATGCATGCGCGATACGGCCATGTGCAGCACGCCATGGGGGTATGTGCAGCATGGCATGGGGTATGTGCAGCACGCCAGGGGGGTATGTGCAGCATGCCAGGGGGGTACGTGTGTGTGGTCCATGCAGCATCAAACTGGTGGACAGGGCTGCTGGTGGAGGGGAGCATGCATGCACGATACGGGCACGTGCAGCATGGCATGGGGGTATGTGTGTGTGTCGGTGTGTGGCGCGTGCAGCAGGTTGCATGAGCATATGTCCTCATGTAGAAGCGCTTATTGAAAGGCTGGGCCTGACCCTTGAAGGGCCTTGTCCTGGGCAGTCAGTGACACGCGCTTCATGCCATGCCATGTCCACGTGGATCAAGCTGACAGGCCACGGGCAGCCCCACATGGGCCCGCCCGCCAGGCATGGCTCGCGCTCATTCATTGGCTTGGCTAGCTTTTGCAGTCTTTGCTCTCGTCACCTTGTGCCGTGCCTCAGCCGTCATCGTCCTGCTTCATTCTCTGTCGTCACTCTTATCCTGCCCTGCTTCATTTCATCCCCTCCGCCCGTTCACATGGCCCCTGCACTGCACCCCATCATGCCAGGCCCTGATCGAGACAGTGCACATGGCACAGCAGGTGAGAGACAGTGCACATGGCACAGCAGGTGAGAGACAGTGCACATGGCACAGCAGGTGAGAGACAGTGCACATGGCACAGCAGGTGAGGCATGGGTTGGTACGCTGTGGAGTGGGCAATCGTGGTAGCGTTTTCTAGGTTGACTAAAGAAGTTGCAGTTTTCTTTGTCAGCCTCAGAAGTGGTGCAGTACGGTGTGCATTGGTATGGCATGACAGCATCTTATGTGTGTGCCTTGACTCCTACGTTGCAACAAAGAGCAGTCATATTGGATGGTATGATAGTACATGTGATGTGACGTGTTGTGATGTGATGTGATGTGATGTGATGTGATGTGATGTGATGTGATGTGATGTGATGTGATGTGATGTGATGTGATGTGATGTGATGTGATGTGATGTGATGTGATGTGATGTGAGTGCAGTACTACTGAGCCCCGCCTTGTTTCCACTCCTGCTGGCGGATCGAGTCACGGTGCCCGCACTTCGTTGAACCTGCAGTCAATGCACAGACTTCAAGCATCATCTTATTCCCTGCCTGTTAACTGAGTTGACCCGAAAGTCAACTCGCACTGCCTGCACCGCGTCGAACCTGCTGCGCAGACTTGAAGCATCATCTTGTTCCCTGCGTGTTCACACAGGAGAGTGATGACGTGTGCTTGGTGCACGCCCTCACAGCCATCTGCCACCTCCTATCACAGACTGCCACGTCAGACGCACCCCGCCAGCTGGCAGTGCTGGGAGCCCCCAGCTCGCTGCAGCAGCCAACACTGCTGGAGGGGGGAGTGTGGCGGGGTGGCGGGGTTAGCGGAGGGAAGAAGGGGCGGGTGAGAGGCGAGGGGATGGTGGGGCGAGGGGAGGAGGCGCATGGGGGCGTGGATGGGGAGGGGGGAGGGGGGGCGGCAGTGGCGGGCGGCGTGCAGCAGCAGGTGTGTGCGCTGCTGCAGCGCTGCCTGGTGCGTGCCGCCCAGCTGAGACTGCCGCGCCTCGTCTTTTCCATTCAGCTGCTGCTCACGCGCTACAGTGTCGAGGTAATGAGGGCTGCCAGGAGGAAAGGGTTGAGGGTTCGGGGTTGGGGGTTCAGCGCTGCTGCAGCGCTGCTTGATGCGTGCCGCCCAGCTGAGACTGCCGCACCTCGTCTTTGCCATCCAGCTGCTGCTCACTCGCTACAGCGTCGAGGTAATGAGGAGAGCTGCTGGAGGGCTGCTGGAGGGCTTTTGGGAATTCTAATGTGACGGGTACTCAGCACTGATGTGGTTGTGTTTCGTTCCTCGCATGCCTTGGATCTCACATGCCCTTGACTGAGCTTCATGTCTTTGCCATCCAGCTGCTGCTCACTGGCTACAGCGTGGAGGTAATGAGGAGGGGTGCTGGAGGGCTCAAAGCTCAGGGCTGAGGGTGAGGGGAGGGTTGAGGGTTGTCTCACATGCGCATGACTGATCTCTCGTGTTCGCCATCCAGCTGCTGCTCACTCGCTACAGTGTCGAGGTAATGAGGAGGGCTGCTGGAGGGCTGCGGGAGGGCTCAGGGCTGAGGGGAGGGTTAAGGCTCGCCTTGCCAGCATCCGGAAACACACGTGATTGCTGCAGCATTGAAGCAGCAAGACTTCTGCGCCGTCTTTATGCTGATGCTGTAACCATTTTTCTCGAGTCGTGTAACACTTACGTTGATGTGATTTCATCTCTTTGTTCGCATGCCCTTTCCCTGCTCCTCCTACTTCCTCTTGTTTCCCCCCTTCCTTCCTCTCCACTCCGTCCCCTCGCCCATCCGCACCGCCTTCCACTCCTCTGAGCAGCACGTAACGGACGGAAGAGCACTCCACGCCACCACCTCCCTCTCTCTTCCTTCCTCCGACGTCAACCCGTCCCCTCTCCTTGTCTGCCAAGTAAGCCACTCCCTCCTCTTCTCTCCTCGTCTGCCCTTGCTTCTCTCTGCTGCTCTTCTTGCAACTTTCCTGCGTGGTGCTGCCGATTGCCCCGGCCGTGCTACTGATACATGCTTGTCTCAGCGTCCTGCAATAATCTGTCCCTTCAATGGCAGCCAACGATGCACCTTAGCTGGAGCCATCAGGCTGTGGAGGTCAAGGCTCTTGTGGCCTTTAGTGATGCGCATGAGATGGCCTTTGCCAGTGCTCTTGCGCACATAAGGAATGGGATGGAGGGGAATGGGGGGTATCTCCAGTGTGGTTGTTGAAACCGCTGATTGGAGGGATGGGGGAGTCTTTGCGTGATCACTTTTGGTTGAGAGTTTCGCGTCCAACTAGCAACCCACCAGACTAGTTTTACGCTAAGCTAGGATGTAAGTACAAGTGTCAATGTGGGATTGTAGTCCATCTCTCCAACAGCCACAAGACTAAGGGTTGCTCATGGGGATGCGTGAGAGTGTTAGGGAAGGATAATAGTTGTAGGTCAGTGATCCGATGTAATGTGATACAATGCGGTGTGGTGTGGTGTGGTGTGGTGTGGTGTGGTTGGGTGTGATGTGATGTGACGATGCAGTGCAGCAAGCGATTCACCGCCCAGTGCTGATCTTGAGTCCCATGCGTTGAGGCAGCTGTGCACTGCAGCAGGGAGGCAAGAACCACTCTCTCACTCACATCCACTTTCCCCCGCTTCCCCCTACTCCCACCCCATCCCGATTCTCGTTTCTCTCCCACTGGCCAACCTCCCACTGCTGCTTCCCCTCTCCCTCCCCTTTCCCCCTCACTCAAGCTCCCCCTCCCCGCCCTTTCCCATTCCCCCCCCTCCCCTCCCTTTTTCATTCCCCCCCTTTCTCCTTCTGTCCGCGCTCTCCCCCCTCGCCTTGAGGCACCTCAAAACTAGTCTCCCATTACACCCCACCTTCACTGCTGCTCCCCCGTCTCCCCTCTCCCCACTGCCCCCAGCACCTGCGTCTGGGCGCCCATCTATTCAACGATGCCTGCACCTCCGCCATCCTCCTACCCTCTGCGCTCTCCCCCCTCGCCTTCCCCCCTTCCGCGCCTCTCTCTCTCCCCTCCCTTCACCTAGCCTCCGCTTCTTCCTCCTCCGCAGTGGCAGCAGCAGCAGCAGCAGCCGCTCTCAACCTCTCCTCCAGCCTAGCCCTCTCAGCGCCTCTCTCCTCCGCCTCCACCGCCGCGGCTCTCTTCAGCTCCGGCCAGACCTTCGCCGGACCACAGCCTGCAGGTTCGGCGGCGTCAGCAGCGGCGGCGGCGGCGGCAGCAGCGGGGAGGCTGGCCCCGCCCCCGGCTGCTGTGGTGCGGCTGGTCGGGGCGGGGCAGGGCGTGAGGGCCGCTGCATGGGAGGTGTATGGCTGGTGAGTGGTGGTGGGTGAGTGGTGGTGGAGGAAGGGTGGGGGGGAGGGTTAGTGGTGCATGAGGGGTGAATGGGGATTGTGTGGTTATCCACATGCAAAGCCATGCATAGCTTTCCCTATTCCTCAATATCACGGATCTGTGCCACCTACTACATCTGTTCCTCTCTCCTCCCATCCCTCTCCCGTCCCATGCCTCCACGTCAGCCCCACCATGGCCACTGCCAGCTCGGCACTTCATCTGCTCTGCTACTCCGATGCTGCCACGTAAGCATGAATCTTCCCGCCTTTCTTGCTGCATCCATGTGCCGGGCTGGTATCTCGTCAAATGGACTCACCTCTTCCCCCCCCAGCGATTGGGTGCGATGTGCCGCATCCCACTCACCTCTCCTCTTTTGACGCGTCTCAACGTTCACTGCACCACTGCTCTGTGTCTTGTTCGCTGCACCACTGCTCTGTGTCTTGTTCGCTGCACCACTGCTCTGTGTCTTGTTCGCTGCACCACTGCTCTGTGTCTTGTTCGCTGCACCACTGCTCTGTGTGTTGTTCGCTGCACCACTGCTCTGTGTGTTGTTCGCTGCACCACTGCTCTGTGTGTTGTTCGCTGCACCACTGCTCTGTGTGTTGTTCGCTGCACCACTGCTCTGTGTGTTGTTCGCTGCACCACTGCTCTGTGTGTTGTTCGCTGCACCACTGCTCTGTGTGTTGTTCGCTGCACCACTGCTCTGTGTGTTGTTCGCTGCACCACTGCTCTGTGTGTTGTTCGCTGCACCACTGCTCTGTGTGTTGTTCGCTGCACCACTGCTCTGTGTGTTGTTCGCTGCACCACTGCTCTGTGTGTTGTTCGCTGCACCACTGCTCTGTGTGTTGTTCGCTGCACCACTGCTCTGTGTGTTGTTCGCTGCACCACTGCTCTGTGTGTTGTTCGCTGCACCACTGCTCTGTGTGTTGTTCGCTGCACCACTGCTCTGTGTGTTGTTCGCTGCACCACTGCTCTGTGTGTTGTTCACTGCACCACTGCTCTGTGTGTTGTTCGCTGCACCACTGCTCTGTGTGTTGTTCGCTGCACCACTGCTCTGTGTGTTGTTCACTGCAGTGCGGACGACCTAGCAGCATCGGCAGTCAAGCTGCTGCGACACAGAGCTGCACACTCTGGTGCCGCAGGTGGGCTCAGGTGGGCTCAGGTGGGCTCAAGTGGGCTCAGGTGGGCTCAAGTGGGCTCAGGTGAGCTCAAGTGGTCCTCAGGTGGGCTCAGGTGGGCTCAGGTGGGCTCAGGTGGGCTCAGGTGGGCTCAGGTGGGCTCAGGTGAGCTCAGGTGGTCCTCAGGTGGGCCTCACGTGGGCTCAGGTGGTCGTCAGGTGGGCCCCAGGTGTGCGAAGGCTAAGGGTGCTGGTGTGTGTGTGCAGAGGTGATTGGCCTGTTACAAGTGTCAGAAGCGCTCCCCACCCCAGTCACCCTCACCCTTCATTTCTATCCCCTTGTCCTCTGGACCCCTCCTCCTCCCCCTCCCCACCCACCTTTCTTCCCACCAGCGGCCCTGCCTCTCCTGCGGCGCCTGCAGCAGCATCCGCTGCTCTCCTCCTCGCCCACCCTCCGCATTGCTGAGCTGGAGCTGACTCACGACCTCTGCCTTGCCACGTAAGCCAGCCACCAGGCGAGAACACAGGCGCTAGTGAGAGGCGCACCGTGTGGCAGATCCTCAGGCGTCATGTCACCACTTCCCTCTCCCCTGCTGCCGCTCACTGCACGACCCCCCCCCACACAGCACGACCCCCCCCCACACAGCACGACCCCTCCCACACAGCACGACCCCTCCCACACAGCACGACCCTGCATCCCAGCAGCTGTCCTCCCTGTTTCACTCTTCTCGCTCCCCTCACCATTGCCCTGTATGCCACCCTCCACTCGTCAACCTCCCCCAGCCCCATTGCTCATCCTATCCCTCTTTCCCGCCCGCCCCCTCCCTCTCCCCCCCTCCCTCTCGGCCGCTCCCTCTCGTGCCCCGTGCCGCCCCCCGCCAGGGGGCGGACATCCCAAGCACTGCACATGTGCGCGCAGCTCGCAGCCATTGCCACACGCCACGGCCTCTCACATGGGGATGAGCAGGGCGGGGGGCAGGGGGGCACGGAGGTGGATTTGGAGTTGGAGGCAGCATGCCAACACGTGCACACCCTCATTGCTGCCTCGCGCTTTCCCCAGGTGCCCCATCTCTCTCTCACTCGTTGCCACGCGCCACTTATGTCTCTTCGCCTAACCCCGTCTCTCTTCATCTAATTCTGTCTGCACTGCTCCCTCACTCGCCTTCTCTCTGCCTCTCTCCCGCCACTCCTGACCCCCGACAGCTGCTTCTTCCACTCCTCCAATTATCGCCTCCACACCTCTCACAAATGCCCTCGCTTGCTCCCCCTTTCTCCACTTCAGTCTCTTCCCCTCCAATGCTCCCCCCTCCTCCTTTTCAGTCTCTTTTCCTTCCTCTCTTACCATCCTAACCTTTCTCCTATCCCAGCCTCCTATCATAACCTCTCCTCTCATTCTCTCTCACCTTTTCACCTTCTTTCCCTCTGCTCTCCACACACCCCCTCTCTCCACACACCCCCTCTCTCCACACAACCCCTCTCTCCAGGCGGCATCAGCAGCCAAGGCACTGTTCACAGCGTGCTGTCGCCACAATCGCCAGCTGTACCACGCGCGCTGCCTGCTGCTCATGGCGGAGCTGCACCTGGTGAGACACCTGAAGCACCTGGTGAGCCACCTGAAGCACCTGGTGAGCCACCTGAAGCACCTGGTGAGCCACATTCTTGCTGTTGAGGCACCTGAGGCACCTGGTGTGGCACCTGAGGCACCTGATCAGACACCTGAGATCGTGAGGCGCCTGGCTGCTGATCAGGCACCTGACGCTGCTGACGATGCTGGGGTGGACGGTGGAGAGGGATGGTAATCATGGAGAGGATTCGCTGGTGAACCCGCTGCAGTTAGGCCTGGACTCCAACTCCTCCACGTTCCACCCTTGCTCTGCACACTCTCTCAAGCCTCCCTCCCGCATCCCCACTCACCCCTTTCCCCCCTCTTTCTCCTCATCATTCTCGTTGCCCATGCCTACCAGAAAGCCGGGTCACCAGCGGCCGCCCTGCCACACGCCCTGGCATGCGCGTCCCTGGCAGCCCGCCTGCACGCACTGCTGCTGCAAGCTACCGCCACCCTCACTGCCGCTGAGGCCACCCTCGCCCTGGCGCCTGCTGCCTGCGGCTCTGCTGCTGCGGGGGATGGCGCTGCTGCTGGGGATGGCGAGAGCAGCAGCGGGCGGGAGTGCGCATTGCAAGCACTGTGGCTGCTTGATGGGGTGTGCCTGCCGGTGCTGCTGGGGCAGTCAGGCCTCACCATGCGCTGTCGCACCCTCATGCTCATTGCCCACTGCCACCTCGCCATGGTTCCCCCAGCTGGTGCGTTCACTGCTTGTTGTCATTCATTCTTCTCCTCACGAATAAGTCACTATGCACTCATGTCGCCATGCACCCATGTCGCCATGCACCCATGTCGCCATGCACCCATGTCGTCATGCAACCATGTCGTCATGCACCCATGTCGTCATGCACCCATGTCGTCATGCACCCATGTCGCCATGCACCCATGTCGCCATGCACCCATTTCGTCATGCATCCATGTCGTCATGCACCCATGTCGTCATGCACCCATGTCGTCATGCACCCATGTCGTCATGCACCCATGTCGTCATGCACCCATGTCGTCATGCACCCATGTCGCCATGCACCCATGTCGCCATGCACCCATGTCGTCATGCATCCATGTCGTCATGCACCCATGTACAGCTTCATTGTCCTGTTCCCCATGTGCTAACCATACAACCTCTGTCACCCACCACCCCTGCACCCACCACCCTTGCCACCACCACTGCATGCAGCGGTGCCAGGCAGTGTGCCTGCAGTGCTGCCGCTGCTGGAGGAAGCAGCCAACGGCTTCCACACCATGCAGGTCAGTGCCACCCACCCGGTCACTCCCACCCCGTCACTCCTACCCAGTCACCCACACCCCGTCCCTTCCACCCAGTCACTCACACCCCGTCAATCAGTCGCACCCCGTCACTCACACCCCGTCACTCAGTCACACCCCGTCACTCACACCCCGTCACTCAGTCACACCCCGTCACTCACACCCCGTCACTCACTCACACCCCGTCACTCACACCCCGTCACTCACACCCCGTCACTCACACCCCGTCACTCACACCCCGTCACTCACACCCCATCACTCACACCCCGTCACTCACACCCCGTCACTCACACCTCGTCACTCACACCCCGTCACTCACTCACACCCCGTCACTGACACCCCGTCACTCAGTCACACCCCGTCACTCACACCCCGTCACTCACACCCCGTCACTCACTCACACCCCGTCACTCACACCCCGTCACTCACACCCCGTCACTCACACCCCATCACTCACACCCCGTCACTCACACCCCGTCACTCACACCCCGTCACTCAGTCACACCCCGTCACTCACACCCCGTCACTCACTCACACCCCGTCACTCACACCCCGTCACTCACTCACACCCCGTCACTCACACCCCGTCACTCACACCCCGCCACTCACTCACACCCCGTCACTCACACCCCGTCACTCACACCCCGTCACTCACACCCCGTCACTCACACCCCGTCACTCACACCCCGTCACTCACACCCCGTCACACACACCCCATCACTCACACCCCGTCACTCACACCCCGTCACTCACACCCCGTCACTCACACCCCGTCACTCACACCCCGTCACTCACACCCCGTCACTCACACCCCGTCACTCACACCCAGTCACTCCCACCCCGTCACTCACACCCCGTCACTCACACCCCGTCACTCACACCCCGTCCGTCTCGGGCAGGTCAGAGCAATGCTCCTCCCTCAGGAGCTCGCCCCGAGAGGGACACGTCACCTGCAGGCAGTGCTGTGCCAGGGATGCTTTCTTAGCCAACTCAAGAATCCCCTTCTCCCTTGCCTTATCTCCCCCCTTCCCCTCAGGAGCTTGCCCGGGAGAGGGACGCACGCCACCTGCAGGCAGTGCTGTGCCACTTGGCGGAGCAGCCAGCCCTCCGTGACACTGCCTCCCGCCGCTTCCTGGAAACTACCAGTGCTCTCAGCGCGAACGCTGCCTGCCAGAGCCCGCTGGAGCTGCTGCTGTGATGCAGGTCAGTGTCGGAGGTGCCTGAAAAGTCGCCACTTTCCAGAATCCACCAGCGCTCTCAGCACCAACGCTGCCTGCCAGGGGTCGTTGCAGCTGCTCTTGTGATCCATCATGTGTGAGGCCAAAGTTGCTGCTTCCTGGGATGGGAACCACTGGTGCTGCCAGTGCTGCTGCTGCTGCTGCCTGCCATGGCCCACTGAAGCCGCTGTGGTGATGTGCGACGTGTGAGGGCAGGTCGGACTCTTAGGCGCTTAGAAGTTGCCACTTCCTGGGAACAACCGGTGCTGCCAGTGCTGCTGCTGCTGCTGCCTGCCTGCCATGGCCCACTGAAGCCGCTGCGGTGATGCATGGCGTGTGAGGGCAGGTCGGCGTTTAAGGCACCTCAAAAGGCGCTGCTTCCTGGGAACCACCAGCTCTCCCAGTGCCGCTGCAGCCTGCCACGGCCCAATGAGTCGCTGCTGTGATGCGGAGGCATGTCGGTGTGGTGGCGGTGGATTGGGAAGACTGGTGTGAGGGGCGGGAGATTGCGATTCTCACACACGTTAGAAGACGCACGGTGGCGTCACTGCCCTTGGGTGGAGCAGCACAGAGACGTGAAAGTTGGCTGTTAGAGAAAGGTGATTGTAGTACATGAACAGGGTTGACATTCTGTAAATCTGATGCAGAAATTTTTTAGATTTCTAATAGTCCTGGCCATGAAGAAGCATGCACATGTATATCTATGATTGGTTAGCTTGATTCATGGGTCTAGTTATATAAGAGGGCACAAGTACGCCGTGTCTAAATTGAACCAGGACTGAAGTACGTAACAAGAGTTGCAAGGAGCTGACCGAGGAACTCCACAACGGAGCAGGTTTCTCCAAAACCCTTTCTCGCCTGCCACTCCCTCGTGCCAAAATGGCTAATAAATCTGTCCTCCGGTTTCCGCAAGACGCGGCGCCTCTGGCGGCGATCGGAGCGGCGGCTATTGCTAAGATCGAGATCGATGCCGCCGTCGACGCGAGCCTGTCTGGAAGCACCCCGCCCGTGCTGTACCTCCCCTCGGGGTACGCTCCCTCGCTACCTTAGACCCTCTCTGGAGCAGATCCGGCCACCTGGCTCCGCATTCGACCAGAATACCCACTTTTCTTACAATTCCGTCAGATTCCCCTACAGTTTTCCGTCATAGCATAGTCTGTCGCAGTCTGAGCCGATTGTGACCATCTCCTCGCACTCCTCGCCTCGCTCTCCTTTTCCTCGCCCTCCGTGGCCGCCCTACCGCCTCCAGCATCTGCACGCCTCCTCGTCTCCCTCATTCTTCACCCCATCGAAGCTCCACAGAACAATAGAAGCTTCTTTCGCCTTGTCTACCGGACCATTTGACATCCCTTTCGCCCTATTCCCTCATGATCCTTGCTTATCCCATCTCCGTAAAATCCGTGCATCGCGTTACATCTGCCCCCTGAAACCTCTTCTATCGACTCGGTACCGATAGGCGTGAAACCCTTCGATGTCTTCCATCGTCGCCGTCATTGTCATGCCTTCGTACCGAGCTGACTTCTGAGTCGACTGAAAAGTTACCCCTTGCTCCCTCCCATTCGTCCGTTTTCCTCTCGTTTTTCTCCTACGTTCCTCCCTCCCCGCGTCGCCTCACCTCGCAACTAATCAGCGAAGAGCTACGGGGGGCCGGCACCATCCTCCGCTATTTCGGCCGCGTCGCGCAGCGGGAGGGCTTCTACGGCGGCTCAGATCCAATCGCCGCGTGCCAGGTGGGTCAGCAGGGGCGAATTGCTGAATGCCAGCTGGCTCAGCTGCGATGCTCTCAGCGTACAACCTTAGCCGCTGACTCGCTTGCGGGTTCCGTCGTTCGTCGCCCTTCTCTATTAGGGTGTTAATTTCCGCTGCATCTTGAAACGTTTCGCCTTTTCCATAACACCACAGCCCACGCGTTAGGTCGACGACATGGTTGTCTGCGCACCTACCGTCAGCGTGGGCTCCCAGCCGCTTAACCAACTTACACGCATCTGCTCGTGCCTCAACGCCTACCTCTCCTGCTTCTTCCCACAACCTCACACCCCCATGCACGGCTCCGTTGCTTCCCACCACCTCACACCCCTCCCCACCGCACTGCACCCACCAGGTGGACGAGGTGGTCGATTATGCACCAACTCTGGGCATCGGCTCCGAGTTTGAGCGTGTGTGCGCGTACCTCAACAGCTACCTCGCCGCGCGCACCTTCTTTGTCTCCTATGACCTCTCCATCGCTGATGTCGCCATCTATGCTGGCCTCTTTGGTACGTGCAGCACAGCACACCGCACTTGGCATGGCAGCATGGCATGGTTTCCCTTGGAATATCCTTCCTTCTTTGTCTCCTATGATCTCTCCATCGCCGACGTCGCCACAGCACAGCGCAGCACAGCACAGCACAGCGCAGCGCAGCACAGCACTGCACAGCGCATCGTTCCTGCTGTTCGAAAATCATAACTCGTTTGTTGACCAATATATATGCGTGAATCAGCGTGTGTGCACTGAACTGAAGTGTTCTGTGTATGTACCAACAACGTACCTACCTCCCGTTACTCCCGTGCACGCGGTGACACGGCAGCCACAGGGCAGCGGTGGGACAGCATACGCCGGTCGCCCACAGCCAAGTACCCGAACCTCATCCGCTGGTTCAACACCGTCTCCGCCGAAGCTCCCGACCTCGCCCCGAGCCTGCTGCCCTTCAGCAGGAAGGCCGCCCAAGCCTTAGCCTCGGCAGCCAAGAAGGGGCCAGGCACGGGCGAGGAAGCAGGCAAGGGCGGCGGCAAGGGGAAGGAGGAGAAGGGAGATGGCGGTGGGGGGGCGGCAGGGGGGGCAGGCGGAAGCACAGGGGGAGGGGGAGGGGGGGGAGACCAGCCAGCGGAGCTGGAGCTTCCAGGGGCGGTTTACGGGCAGGTGGTAACCCGGTTTCCGCCTGAGCCCAGCGGGTTTATGCACATCGGGCACGCGAAGGCGGCGCTGATGAACCAGTTCTTTGCGGAGAAGTACGGCGGGAAGATGCTGGTGCGGTTTGACGACACGAACCCGAGCAAGGAGAAGGACGAATTCGTGGAGAGCATTCTGGCGGACATGGCCAGGTTGGGCCTCACGTGGGACACGATCACCCACACGTCTGATTACTTCGATGGGCTCATTGTGCGTTGCCGTGGGGGTGTGGGGAGAAGGGGGGCTGGGGGAGGGGAGGGGGATAGGGGGGGGAGGGCTGCCCTTGCTGGTGTGATGGATGGGTTTGTTGTGAGTGAGGTGGTACGTCGGGTGACGGGTGGTACTACCGGTGCTGGTGCTGCAAGGCATGAGGCACGGGGCATTGTTGTGTTGTGTTGAGTGAAGGAAGGACGGGTTTGTTTTGTGGAGTGGAGAGCATTCTGGCGGACATGACATGACATGGTGCGTCTGGGGCTCACGTGGGACAAGATCAACCACACCTCGGACTGCTTCGATGGGCTCATTGTGACTTGGTACGGGCACAGGGGTGGGAGTGAGCAGTGGGGATGATCGCTCACGCGCCTGACTGCTCTGATTGGTTCATTGTTAGTGGATTGTACGAAGCTCACCTGCCTTCACTGTTTTCTCCCTTCCCGTGGGCTTGAGTGTCTGTTTTCTCTCCCCCTGTTCCGCATCCCACCCCTACATTTCCTTACCTCCCTCCTCCTCCGTCTCCCCTCCTACCTCCCTCCTCCCCATCAGGCCATGTGTGAGAAGCTGATTCGCGAGGGCAAGGCGTACGTGGACAGCACGCCCAAGGAGCAGATGAGGGAGGAGCGCATGGTGGGCACCGAGTCGGCGTGCCGGGGGCACAGCATAGAGCGCAACCTGGAGCTGTGGGCGGAGATGCTGAAAGGCAGCGATGTGGGCAAGGAGTGCTGCGTCCGTGCCAAGTGGGACATGCAGGTGCGTGTGGTTGAAGGGAGTTGAGGAGGTTAAAAGCATTGACAAGGGTAAAGGTGGTGGGACTGTGGGAGAGAGAGCACAGCACAGTGGGGAGCGCAACCTGCAGCCGTGGACGGAGATGCTCAAGGGCAGGCACCGATGTGGACAAATAGTGCTGCGTGCGCTGCGCGCCAAATGGGACATGCGGGTAGGTGGCGGGCGAGCTGGTTCGTGGGATGGTGGACAAGTGGGGCATGCAGTGGTGTGTCATTCAAGTGAGGTGTGGAGGATAAGAGCGCTGAAACGGTTAAAGGTGTGTAAGAGGGCGTGCACAGCACACCTTGCAGGCAGCACACCTTAAAGGTGTGTCAGAAGCGTCTAGCTGCGGGCGGCGATGCTGCAATGCAGTGTGAGGCAAGGCATGCTGCAATGCAGTGTGAGGCAAGGCATGCTGCAATGCAGTGTGAGGCAAGGCATGCTGTGTGCTGTGCGCGCCACGTGGGACATGCAGGTAGGTGGCAGCGCGGACGAGAAGGCCGGGCAGTGTGTGTGTGTGGGATTGCGGGCAAGTGGGACATGCAGGTGCACGTGGCGATTGGGAAGCTTCCTCCTCATGCAGGTGCATGGGAGTGAGGGGCGAGTGGGGCATGAGGGATGTGCCTCCAGCTCCACTCACTCTCACTCTCGCTCTTTCCCCCCTCCCCTTCTTTCTCCTCTCGCTCCCTGTCTCTCTCTCCCTTCCCTTTCCTCCTGTCTCCCCTTCTCCCATTCCATGCAGTGACCAAGACCCTACGCGACCCGGTATACTTCAGAGTGGATGCGTCGGGGTTGCCCCATCTGCGCACAGCACAGGGACCAAGTACCAGGCGTACCCCACGGACGACTCTGCATGCCCATTTGTGGACACACGGAGACTCTGTTCCCTTCCCAGTCAGCTCGAACTCCACTCACTCTCACTCTATTTCTCCTTTTCCCGTGTCTCCTCTGCTCTTTCTTCCCGCCTTTCGTCCTGCGCCCCCTCCACCCCTCCAGGCAGCGAACAAGACCCTGCGCGACCCTGTGTACTTCAGAGTGGATGCATCCGGCCTGCCCCATCTGCGCACGGGCACCAAGTACAAGGCGTACCCCACGTACGACTTTGCGTGCCCATACGTGGACAGCATAGAGGGCGTCACCCACGCGCTGCGCTCCTCCGAGTACCACGACCGCAACGAGCAGTACTACCGCGTGCTGGAGGTGTGTGGAGGGGTGGGGAGGGATGGGGAGGGATGGGAGAGGAGTGTGGCGGTAGTGAGGTACGACTGCAACGAGCAGTACGACCGCGTGCAGGAGGTAAGTGGAGGGGTGGGGAGGGGTGGGAGGAGGTAGGTAGTGAGGGGCGAGGAGTGCTGGTGGTCTTCGTTCTACTCCCGCCGGAAATATTCCCAGCATCTGAACTTTCTGTCCCCTGCAAACCTCTGTACGCCACCCACTCTTCTGTCCTGACTGACTGCAGGACATGGGGCTGCGGCGAGTGGAGGTGTGGGACTTTTTGCGTCTCAACTTTATGTACACGCTGCTCTGTGATTGCACGCTCTCGTTTTCATCTCCACCTGTCGTCTCCTTGCCTTGACCTTACCCTCACTGCAGGACATGGGGTTGCGGCGAGTGGAGGTGTGGGACTTCTCGCGTCTCAACTTCGTGTACACGCTGCTGTCCAAGCGCAAGCTCGCGTGGTTCGTGGACAACGGCCGTGTCACCGGGTGGGACGACCCGCGCTTTCCCACCGTGCAGGGCATGCTCAGACGCGGGCTCACCGTGCCTGCTCTCAAGCAATTCATTCTCTCACAGGTATCCATAAAGTGGGTAGGGTGGGCTTAGAGTGGGCTTCAAGGGTAAGGTGGACGGGGGGTGGGACGACCCGCGCTTCCCCACCGTGCAGGGCATGCTCACACGCGGGCTCACCGTGCCTGTATTGAAACAGTTCATTCTCGCTCAGGTGAGGTTATGGTGGGGTGGGAGGGTGGGCTTTAAGGCAGGGTGCATGGGTGGGTTAGACCATGCTTCCCCACAGTGCAGGGCATGCTCAGGAGGGGGCTCACCATGCCCACTCTCAAACAGTTAAATCTCTCACAGGTATCCACAGAGTGGGCTTTAAGCACTTCATTCTCTCGCATGTATTCATGAAGTGGGCTTGAAGTCGGCTTGAAGTGGGCTTGAAGTGGGCTTGAAGTGGGCTTGAAGTGGGCTTGAAGTGGGCTTGAAGTGGGCTTGAAGTGGGCTTGAAGTGGGCTTGAATTGGGCTTGAAGTGGGCTTAAATTGGGCTTAAATTGGGCTTAAATTGGGCTTGAAGTGGGCTTGAAGTGGGCTTAAAGTGGGCTTAAAGTGGGCTTAAAGTGGGCTTGAAGTGGGCTTGAAGTGGGCTTGAAGTGGGCTTGAAGTGGGCTTGAAGTGGGCTTGAAGTGGGCTTGAAGTGGGCTTGAAGTGGGCTTAAAGTGGGCTTAAAGTGGCTTGAAGTGGCTTGAAGTGGGCTTGAAGTGGGCTTGAAGTGGGCTTGAAGTGGGCTTGAAGTGGGCTTAAATTGGGCTTGAAGTGGGCTTGAAGTGGGCTTGAAGTGGGCTTGAAGTGGGCTTGAAGTGGGCTTGAAGTGGGCTTGAAGTGGGCTTAAATTGGGCTTGAAGTGGGCTTGAAGTGGGCTTGAAGTGGGCTTAAAGTGGGCTTAAAGTGGGCTTAAAGTGGGCTTGAAGTGGGCATAAAGTGGGCATAAAGTGGGCTTGAAGTGGGCTTGAAGTGGGCTTGAAGTGGGCTTGAAGTGGGCTTGAAGTGGGCTTGAAGTGGGCTTGAAGTAGGCTTGAAGTGGGCTTGAAGTGGGCTTGAAGTGGGCTTGAAGTGGGCTTGAAGTGGGCTTAAAGTGGGCTTAAAGTGGGCTTAAAGTGGGCTTGAAGTGGGCTTGAAGTGGGCTTGAAGTGGGCTTGAAGTGGGCTTGAAGTGGGCTTGAAGTGGGCTTGAAGTGGGCTTGAAGTGGGCTTGAAGTGGGCTTGAAGTGGGCTTGAAGTGGGCTTGAAGTGGGCTTGAAGTGGGCTTGAATTGGGCTTGAATTGGGCTTAAATTGGGCTTAAATTGGGCTTGAAGTGGGCTTGAAGTGGGCTTAAAGTGGGCTTGAAGTGGGCTTAAAGTGGGCTTAAAGTGGGCTTGAAGTGGGCTTGAAGTGGGCTTGAAGTGGGCTTGAAGTGGGCTTGAAGTGGGCTTGAAGTGGGCTTGAAGTGGGCTTGAAGTGGGCTTGAAGTGGGCTTAAAGTGGGCTTAAAGTGGGCTTGAAGTGGGCTTGAAGTGGGCTTGAAGTGGGCTTGAAGTGGGCTTGAAGTGGGCTTGAAGTGGGCTTAAATTGGGCTTGAAGTGGGCTTGAAGTGGGCTTGAAGTGGGCTTAAAGTGGGCTTAAAGTGGGCTTGAAGTGGGCATAAAGTGGGCATAAAGTGGGCATAAAGTGGGCTTGAAGTGGGCTTGAAGTGGGCTTGAAGTGGGCTTGAAGTGGGCTTGAAGTGGGCTTGAAGTGGGCTTGAAGTGGGCTTGAAGTGGGCTTGAAGTGGGCTTGAAGTGGGCTTTAAGGCAGGGGGCAAAGGTGGGCCCGCTTCACTATGTGTCGATTGAGACTTCAGGTGCCACGCAAGCCTTGTCACTTTGCAGCATAGCATGTACTGTATTACTGACCGGAAGGACTTGCAGCAAGGAGCACAAATAAATTGTGCGGGTGGTAAGGCAGATAAACTGCTGAGACCCAGTTCGTATGTGATCTTGCATTTCGAGTGGTGAGGCGACGAGTTGAGATTTCATGAATCATGGTTGCATGTAGGGGTGAGCAAGGGGCGAACACGAACGTGTTTGTGTTCGCCCCTGCACGAACACAGCCGTTCGCCGAACCGAACAGTGTTCTGTTCGGCGAACACTTTTAGCCAAAAAGGGTGTTCGGTGTTCGCCTGTGAAGGCGTGTTCGAGCGAACCTCGAACACGTTCGTGTTCGACGCGGGGCAAATTGCAGCAGCGCCCCGAACACGAACATGTTCGGGCGAACATCGAACATGTTCGCCCCGAACACTTAAGGCCAAAAAAAAAGCCTGTTCGGTTTGCCTCGAACGTGTTCGAGGCGAACCGAACAGGCATTCGTGATTTTGGTCACCCCTAGTTGCATGTGTGGTCTCTGAGCCAATTCAAGCAGTTACGTGTGGTTCCTTCTCCCGCTCCCAAGCGCGTGCTCACGAACGTGAGTTCATGGAGAAGGGTGGGCTGATTTGGGGTTCTAAAATGAAGGGGTGATTCATCGCCTCTCCTTGTGGCTCTCCTCCCTGTTCGCCTCACCCCAGCTAACTGGTTGAACTTGATGGAGCTAGATGCGCTGTGGATGATCGGTGATGGGGTGATCGTTCGTTCTTGTTCCCTCACTCCATGCTTCACTCGCTCTTTCCCTCATCTCCTCCCCTTCCCAGGTTGCATCCAAGAACCTGACCCTGACGGAGATGGACAAGTTGTGGACGATCAACAAGGAGTGGCACATCCGTCTCTTTCCCTCACTCCCTCCCTCGCCTCTTGTCCCCCCCTCAACCCCTTCCTCCCCATCCACCTTCCCCTGGCAGGGAGCGTCTAAGAACCTGAACCTGATGGAGATGGACAAGCTGTGGACGATGTGCGATGGCGTGATGGATCCTTGTCACTTTCTCACTTCGTTCCTCGCTGCCTCTCACCCTTCCAGGGAGCGTCCAAGAACCTGAACCTAATGGAGATGGACAAGCTATGGACGATCAACAAGAAACTGATCGACCCTGTGTGTCCGCGCCACACCGCCATCCTCCTCGCCGCCCGCGTGCCGCTCACCCTCACCAACGGGCCCGAAGCCCCCTTTGTGCGCGTGCTGCCGCGGCACAAGAAGCACCCCCCTGCGGGCATGAAGGCGACGGTGTTCTCCCGGCGCGTGTGGCTGGAGGGGGCAGACGCACGCGTGATCAAAGAGGGTGAGGAGGTGACTCTCATGGACTGGGGGAATGCCATTGTGCAGCGCAAGACCATGCGGGAGGGGGGGGAGGGGGAAGGGGGAGCGAAGGAGGGGGGAGGGGAGGGCGAGGGGGAGGTGGAGGCGATGGAGGGGGTGCTGCATCTGGAGGGGTCGGTGAAGACGACAAAGCTGAAGCTGACGTGGCTGGCAGACAGCGATGAGCTCGTGCCTCTCACCCTCGTGGAGCTGGACTACCTCATCACCAAGAAGAAGGTGCGCTGGTGGGATGGTGTGGTGGTACGGTGGTTACAGATAAGGTGCGGTGCGACATGAAGTGATGAGCTCGTGCCTCTTACTCTCGTGGAGCTGGACTACCTCATCAGCAAGGAGGTGCGACCTGCTGCATGGTGGTTACAAAGGAGGTGCGGTGGTACGGCGACGAATCCCCTCTCCTCTCTCTCTCTCTCTCTCTCTCTCTCTCTCTCTCTCTCTCTCTCTCTCTCTCTCTCTCTCTCTCTCTCTCTCTCTCTCTCTCTCTCCCACCACCTCTCTCGTGGAGCTGGACTACCTCATCACCAAGAGGAGAAGGTGTGCCGGTGCTGTGGTTACGAAAGTGGTGCGGTAGTTATGAAGAAGGTGGGATAGTTGCAAGAGGAAGGTGCGGTGGTTAGGAAGCATGTAAGGTGACATTTCCCTCTCCCTGTCCTCCCTCTCTTCCTCACTTCCATCCCTCTCTCCCCACTAACCCACCTCGATCGCTCCCTCCCTCTGTGCATCTCCCAGTTGGATGAGGGCGATGACTTCCTGGCGGCACTCAACCCGCGCACGCGGTGGGAGGAGGCGGCGGTGGGAGACGCCAACATGCGCAACCTGCAGCGGGGGGACATCATACAGCTGGAGCGCAAGGGCTACTACATCTGTGACCAGCCGCTCGTGAGGCCGCACAAGCCCATGGTTCTCATCGCCATTCCCGATGGCAGGCAGAGACCCCCTCCTGGTGCAGCTGCTGCTGCTGCTGCCAAGTAGGGAGGGATGATGCTGGAACGGGGGCGGGAGCGGGGAGGATATTGTGTCGGATGCAGGGAACGCAAGGGTTACCTTATGTGTGACTAGCCCTTCAGTGCCACCCCACAAGCCCATGGTCCTCGTCGCCACAGAATCAACCCTCTCCGGGTGGCACCACGGCTGCTGCTGCTGCCAGTAGGGATGGTGGTGCTGCTGGGCGGATGCTGTGTTGAGTGCAGGGTGCAGGGGTAAACCTACGGTATGCCATTCGTGAACAGCTATGTATAGATAATAGACCTGCCTGGCCAAGAGAAAAGCCGATTGCAATGTACGGTAGCTGTTGTGTAAGTTGTGTTGTGCGCGCTTGATGCGTAAAACTGTTTTACAGACAGCCTAGTCGAATCCCTGCCCCATCACTTGGGCAAACTCTCTGCCAATCCACACACGCTTGCATTCTTCCATTGGGTCTATACAGCTCGTAACCCCCCTTTGCCATTGTTATAACTAAAAAGTAAACCCAAATCTGCACGCCTCTACTTGTGCAACGTATCGGCATCCAAGAATAATTGTTGTGTACAATAATTTACTCATTGTTTGATTGCACGCCTCTACTTGTGCAACATATCGGCATCCAAGAACTAGGATTTCACAACCATTGTGAAAACGCCAAGTGTACGGCTGCGATGTCGCAGAAGCGAACAAGAACGGGTATCACAAGAACCCTGAACTGTACCAGGGAGGCGTGTGAGTGCAACACTCATAATCGAACCAAAAACTAATCGCAACCTCCTAAGTGCGCGACTCTGTTTCTGCCGTAACCGTCGTAAACGAATCGCTGAAATGGGGCAAACGCCCGTAGTTGAAAACAAGTAGGCCAAGACAGGAAACTAGTTGCATGCGTAACCCTGTAGCTTGGCGATGCCGCAACGGAAGTTTTCTCGATAAACGGAGGCAGGTTTTCTATCAGACGCGCCCTCGAACTCCTCTGGAAAGGCCATCCCGCGACGCGACCAAGGCAATGAAAGTGTGAGCCAGACATAGGCTAACAGAAGCATGGGCGCGCAGAGGCATGGGCGCGCAGAGGCATGGGCGCGCAGAGGCATGGGCGCGCAGAGGCATGGGCGCTCAGAAGTACCCTGGTCCCATTTCCTCCTCCTATTCCCCCCTCTCATCCCACCTCTTATACCCCCCCAACCATGCCTCTCTCCCAATCCCCCTTCCCATTTCTCATCAGTTCCCCCCTCTCCGATTCCGCCCTCCAGTCCACACCACTTATTCCCTCTTCCATCTCCCCTCCCTTCCCCGCCCTTCCATTCCTCCTCCCATTCCCCGTTCACCCCTCCCGTTCCCCCTCCCATCCCCCCTTCCCACCCATTTTCCAGTCGCCCCCACATTGTCCATCCCTTTCCCCTCCCTCGTATTCCCCTCTCTCGTCCACCTTTCCGTTCCACTCTCCCATTCCCCCTAACCACCCCCCCCCCCCCTCTCCAATTCCCCCTACATGTTCCCCTCCCATTCCCCCGTCATTCCCCCTTCCCACCGTCAACACTTCCAAGTACCCCCTCTCCCTCTTATTTCCCTCTCTCATTCCCCCCCGTCCCATGCACCACACAGCCTGCAGCCATGTGCGGGCCTATTAACAAACCACGAGGTGTTTGAGCTGCTCACAGACCGAGGCGCCATGGGAGCAGTGGACGTGTCACAGGGCGGCATGGGACCGGCAGCCATAGAGTGCCAGGTCTACACCTATCTCTGCGCCGCCCCTGCCGCCACACAGACGCGGGCGGCCGTGGCTAAGTGCACGGAGCGGGCGGCAACATTTGGACTGACGCGGATGGAAACGCTGCAGCTGGTGAATCTGAGGCCGTCCCAGCCTGTAGAAGCACACCTGGTGGGTGACAAACATTTCTATAAGCACACCGGGTAGGTGGCAGTGCGTCGCTCCTTATCTCATCCCAAGCAGTGGTTGAATCACAGCCACTTGTTTAGAGTAATCTGATCTTCTCCCCTCTTTCTCTCGAGCTTTCGTCCCATCTTGCTACATCCTCTCTTGTCATCTCTCTCACTTCTCCATCACTGCCCCGTGGCAGATCATAGCAGACTGTGAAATGCGTCTGCCAGGTGAGAGGGTGGAGCAGCTGCTGCAAGTGGTGGAAGAGACACTGCCCGCTGCACCAGAGCTGGAAGGAGGTGCAGAGGAGGAGGAGGGGGGTTGAAGGCACCACGGTTGGTGGGAAGGGAACCGTTGCCAGCAGCTGTTGCAGCTGATGGTAAGTTGTGTCTACCAGGCAAGAGGGTGGAGCAGCTGCTGCAAGTGGTAGAAGAGACACTGCCCGCTGCACTGGAGCTGGAAGGTGCGGACGAGGAGGATCCAGTTGAGGGGGGTTGAAGGCGCAAGAGGCTAGTGAATGCTGATGCATAGTAGAGCTTGTTGAAAGGTGGAGCCCTCTTTATTGTGGAGCCAAGCGGATGTATGCATCTATGGAAAGACACAGCAATTGAAGCTGAGTTTTGATTGTATTTCTTAACAGAGTCAGTGGCAGGGCAAATTTTTGGATTTGGCCTACCCTTACGATCAGTGTGGCACAATCTCAAAAGCCTGATTATCAGTGTGACCCCTTGTGAAAAAACTTTCCCATCAGGGTTTTCCCTGTTTTTGAAAAATTTACCCTGTCGCATCAGTGTTCATGAAAAACAAACCCTGTTCAATAGTTTTTATACTTGCACTCAATACAAATTTCACTCATCATCATCAGACATGCCACACGGGTGTTCGTCGTGGTCTCACTCTCTTCTTCAAGCTCAGGTCAGGGCCTCAGATTGGTTTTGAGCTAGGCTGAACCAATCAGAGTTGGTACAAAAAATTATGCTAAAAAACAGAAAAATCTGCCATTTTATGCCAGTTTACACTACAAATCACATACATTTTCCTGATTTTTCACAGAAAAATGCTGAAAAATCAGCCACAGTTCTAAAAAAAGGACTGAAATCTCAGCCTTTTTTACCCAAATCAGCCTTTTTTCGCTGACTTCTGAGGCCCTGGCTCAGGTGCTTTCTGTTTGCCCTTCTCGTCCACTCAGCCAAGTTTCCTGCTAACCCGGTCGTGTTGTCATGTCAGACAAACAGACCGAGTTGTGTTGGTGGCGCAGCCAACAAAGAAACTGTAAGCCGGGCCAATGGTGGCCCAATGTGTGCCAGCACATGCGCTGTCAAGGCCGAAAATCAGGCTTCGACGATTGGCAATCGGGATTTCAGGGTTACGGACGGGAGAGGGGGGGTGGGGGAACTGGGGGGCGGGGGGGGGGGGGGGTAGGGTACTCGTTTCAGGGTAAAACCCGTTATGGGATTCTGGAACCCTTATGCATCAGTGTGACATAAATGTAAACCCTGGCACATCAGGGTAAAACTAGCTCCTAAAAAAATTACCCGGGGCCATCAGTGTGACCCCCCAAAACCACCCTGATTATCAGGGTATCAGGGTGATTTACCCTGATAAAATTTGCCCTGGTCAGTGGGTTGGTTTCCTCCGGGGATCTCCTTAAAGCCCAAAAAAAAAAAAAAAAAAAGTGGGTGGGTGCTGCTGTTGGGCTGAGAAAAGCCCTTAGGATCTTTGCAGGACTAAACTCTTAGTAGGAACAATGTAATAGCGGAAGCGTTTAATGATAAGTCTGTGAACCACCTTGCGCTGGTATGTGAGGGCAAAGTAGATTGATTAAAGCAAAGAGATACACGCTTTTATAAGAGTACAAGGAATACGAAGAGATATAGTTACTAACAGTTTTACTTATGCTGTTGCGGTTCGATACAGTGACGACTCGGGCAACTGCTCAATAACGAGTCAGTTGTTTGTCCTTGCTGTCGCGCTGTATTTGTCAGGTCAAAGGTCGCTGACCTTTGATTTTCGCGTAACCTCCAGCAGTTGCTCAACCGCCGAAGGTTGACTCGCTGATGCTTCGCTGTGTTTCGCTTCGTTTACGACTTAGTGTTTCGACACGACAGAGGCGCTTAAATCACTTGTTTCCAACACTCCCCTTCGCTTCTGGAGTGTCGTTGCTGATGACGTGGCCTTGTCCATTCAGCAGCATGCAGTACTCGAACTTCTGCTTTCCGAGCTTCTTGGTCAAGTAATCAGCTGCCATCTCAGACGTGGGGCAGTACGACAGCTCGAGTCTGCCCTTCTCGATCTCGTCCTTTACGAAGAAATATCGCAGGGCGATGTGCTTCGTCCTGTTCGCGAATCCGTTTTTGTTCGCGATGCGAATTGCAGACTGGTTGTCGCAGAACAGAGAGAAGCTGGGTAACTGGGCCAGTTTCGCCTCTTCCAACAGTTCGCGAAGGTAAAGTCCTTCCTTGGTGGCTGAGCAGAGTGCAATATATTCTACTTCAGCTGAGGAGAGAGCAATTAGTTCCTGTTTGCTCGACTGCCATGAGATGGGCCCGATAGGCTCGAGTCGGTAGATATCGCCGGTGCGCGAGCGTCTGTTGTTGGAGTCACCGGCATGATCGGCGTCGACGTAGCCAATTAACTTGGGTGTCGAGGTTCCGTTCTTGTGATAGGTCAGGCCGATCGTCGGAATGCTAACGAGGTAGTGAAGAGCGCGGTCGAGCTCCGCCATGTGTTCTGCTTCGGGCCTTTTGAGGTAGGTGGCGAGTTGACTCGCACAGTACAATAGATCCGGACGGCAGGTGACGGCCGCGAAGAGGAGGCATCCCAGCTTTCTCTGGTAGTCACGTATGCCAGCGGGTTTGAGTAGAGCAGAGCTTTCCTTGTCATTTCCGGTGGTGTAGCGGTATGGCGTGAAGATGGGGGTCGGGGAGAGTCCGAAGCGTTTGGCGATGGTGTCGGCGTATTTTGCGGCGTTGAGATAGATCGCGCCTTCCTCTTCCTGGATGTTGAGGCCGAGGTATTGCGTGACGGTTGATGACACTATGAGAGCGAGGCCCTGCTGCAGCTCCCCTTCGAACCAAGTAGTGACGCTGTCAGTCGAGCCGATGAAGAGCAGATCGTCCACGTAGATGATGAGCAGAATGTAGTCGTCACCTTTCGTGAGCCGGTACATGCCCTGGACGTGCGGAAGTTGGCCGAATCCGATGCGGATAAGTCTAGCATGTAGGTACTGTTCCCACAGTCTCGAGGCCTGTTTAATACTGTACAGGGACTTCAGCAGCTGACAGACTTGGTTGGGCTCTCCGTTGGAGCCGTGTGGAAGTTCGACGAAGATTTTGGCGTCAACAGGTGCGTAGAGAAATGCATTGGCGGCGTCAATTTGCCGCAGCTTCTTCTTCATGGCGGCGATCGCGAGGAGAATTCAAAGCGAAGTGTGTCGGCTGACCGGGGCGAACGTCTCGGTGAAATCACGTCCGTGCTCTTGGTCGAAACCGCGCACGACCCAGCGCGCCTTAAACTTGTCGATGGTGCCGTCTGCCTTTGTCTTCACACGGAAAACCTATTTTCCGGTGAGTACCGTTTTGTTGCGTGCCACGCCAATGGGAACGACTTTCCAGGTGTTCCATTCTTCCAGCGCTTTCAGTTCCTTGTCAATGGCTTCGCGCCATTTTTCCTTATGCTCCCCGCCCAGAGCCTGCTGAACTGTCGCAGGCTCCTTAGGAATCGCTGTGCTGTGGACCGCGGTGACGAGGCCGAGTATTTGGAGGCCACTCTGTGTATAGCGGGGAAGTGTCGTGTCCTCAGGATAAGCTGCTTCGTCTCCTGCTTCTGGGTCAGGTATGAAATTGGGCCCTATGCGTTCTGCTTCGTTGGTGTTGACTCTTGAAGGCGTAACGTAACCGTTGTCGGCGAAGTGATTATATACTTCGGCGTTGACGCTTTCGCGAGGATTTTCGTCATCCATTGGGACGTCGACAGAGCAGTAAGGGAGAGGTCCGGCTTCCTCCAAGGCTTCGTCCACGTTCTGTTTGTCCCAGTCAACTTTGTCTGTTGCCAAAGCGAAGGCTCGGTCACCATGAAAACCACCTGTGGGGTCCCGGTCTTCTTCCAGGTTGGCAAGGTACGTCGGAAGTGTGAGTCGCTCGTAGAAAAAGACATCACCTTGTCCGAATGAACAAGAGTGATTGAACTAGGGAAAGAGTTGGGTACAAGTAGGAAACCCTAAACTTACTGTACCCCATAGTAACTACCCCACTACAGCCTAAACAAACTGTAGCACATATGACATTTGACACACCCCCATAGGCAAAGTGGGGGAGAGTAAGGGGTCATAAGACCAGTCAAGAAGGGCAAAGCAAGCTCAGGGTGGATCACAAAGTCACCACACTCACTGAGCACAAGCAAAGGGCCACAAGGCCAGTTCACATGCAGAGGCATATATGCAACACAAACCTCAGTGTGATCTCTACCTAGCAAAACAAGCATGCAGGTATATATGTATATATACATATAGATAACAGTACAAGCAAATGCTACACCAAGTGAGGAAAAGTGGGCACAAGCTCTAGCATAGTGCAAAAACGCTGATGAACATCAGACTGAAGTGCCTTGGTGAATATATCAGCAGTGTTGGCCCGAGTGGCCACGTAACGCAGACGAAGCTGACCACGCTGCTGCAACTCTCGAGCGAGGAAGTACCGCAGAGCTATGTGCTTCGTTCTGTGCTCCTGTCTGTGCTCCTCACACAAGGCAATGGCAGCCTTGTTGTCGACGTACAGCACTGGAGGAAAACGAGGCCGCTCTCCCAAGTCGGTCAGCAGGTAGGTGAGCCAGCGTAACTCCTGTGCAGCCATGGCTGTGGCGTAGATCTCAGCCTCACAACTAGAGCTGAGAACTGAAGACAAGCGTGTAGAACGCCAAGAAACTGAACCAGAGCCAAGGCTGAAGGTGTAACCCTGTGACGACCGCTGCGTAGCCTGGTCGTCAACCCAAGAAGCGTGTGAGTGCCCAGTAAGAACAACTGAGCTCCTCCCTCCAAGCACGAGCCCCATGCCTGATGTACTGCACAAGTAGTGCAACACCCTCTTAGCAATATCCATGTGCACCTTTCGGTGCCTACCAGGAGCCACGTAGCGAGCCAGAAGGCCAAGAGGGTACGCGAGGTCAGGACGCGTGCAAGTCATCAGGTACATGAGGCAGCCAACTAGCTCTTGGTAAGGACCACTCGGCTCTACGGACTCGTCCGAAGGTGGAGCTGAGAGCGAGTGACCTGTAGCCAGAGGAGTGGCCTGTGTTGAGGACCAGGTGAAGACAAAGCGCTGAAGGACC